CCCGTTCACATAACAATTGATACTCACCGTCAATGTTGTGTAAATCCTTGAATTCACATGTTACTTTCGCCAGTTCTGCTAATGAATTGAGAGCTTCTGTTTGAGTTGCATTGGATTCTTCCATTACCGGCAATTCTGTGACAACAATACTTTGCTTCATCTCATGCACCCCCTGAATCGTTTCTGAAAATTGATTCTCTTTGTCGAACTCAACTGCTATCATCTCGGGCTGTATTTCTGATTTTATTGCTCTTCTTTGTTCCATGATGTTCAATTGAGCAATGACTCCACTATTTCGACTTTCAATAAATTCCTCTGTTTGTTCCTCAGCCAAAATGGCTTGCGTTGTCTCAATGCCTATTAAACTCTGAATTGTGAGTTCCGCTTGCGAAAACGGTGCATTTTCGGGAATTTTCAAAGCGCTTCCAGTTTCCTGTACTTGTTGAAGAGTGTCCTCCCGAGACGTAAATGGAATATACATTGATGACACCTTTTCATCTGCTTCATATTCAATATTCAAGCTTGTTGCAGCAACAGATGTTATAACTTCAGTATTTTCCGTAACCGGTTTGCCTGATAGAGATTTATTGACAATTTGCTGGATGGGTGTTTCAGTAGAAGCGAGCACGCTTTCTTTCTCTTCTTCCAACACTTCCGACACTGCTAATGCCATGAATTCTGAAATACTTTGTGTCCCTTGTTCTTTTTTGGGCTGTATTTCTTCAATCATTTTGCCTGTATGAGTTACCGGGAATATTTCCGTTTTTTGTGCTACTTCAATACTATCCATCTTTTGGATAGCGAACCCCTCTGATGACAATGTACTATTCGGTAGATCTATCTCCATTTCATTGGATATAATCTCAAAAGTATTGGCAATATCCAATGTGTCCAGCTTTGGTTCAGTGTTCTTCGATTGATCCTGAGGTATTCTTCCCAAATTCTCTGCCTGCATTAGTATAAATGGCTCATTTTTTTCCGCTATTTTCCTTCCTGAAATATTCACATCAACCGATTTCTCCTCTGGTTTCTTTTTTAGCAGAAGAACTTCTTCAAATTCATTAGTGGCAATGTATGAAACTGTCAATGGAGAAAATTCATCCAAGGTTTGTTTTGATGTTATCATTACTGGAACACTTTGCTGATTTAAATTTTCAGCATTTGATACTGTTCCAATCATTGAGACCTCAGCAGCTTCTTGTTGAGTAAAACTCAGATTTGCTACACTTTTCAATGGAATCTCAGCAGTAATAATTTCTTCTTCCAGTTCATTGACTATATTTTGTGATACTGCGATGGACGAACATAGGTTAACATTCGAATATCCTGTTTGGCTGTCTAATTTCTTATTCACCGGCAATTCTTGCGTATTGTTGAAAAGGATTGTTTCAGCCACGGTAGCGGCCTCTCTGCTATCGAATTGTTGTTGAGCGATTTCTTCTTTTCCAACTTCTGGTATAATAAATGTACCCTCGGTATCATTCGCTAGTTGCTCAGAAACAAGAATATATGAATGTACATTCATCTCAACATTTCCATGAACTTCTTTAGGAAGTTTTGCAAAATCAAGCCCGGCCGCGGTATTTATTTCCCGAATTTCCTCGGTTGTCACCACATCACGTGTTGAAATTGCTATATGTGCAGTTTCCTCTGTTAATTGTTCCGAATCATTTAAATCTGTTTCTGTTTCAGTGGAATGCACTTCGGATGTAATCAATGGCAGTACTTCACACAAAGTACTACGTCCCTTTTTCCTATCGACTTTTTCATCTGAAAAATCTTCAGAAGTCGCCAATGTCATGATTTGTGAAGTCTGAACTGTATCGTGAGTAATCATTCCTGTTTCGGCCAATCCGTGATTTGGCTTTATATCACTTGGCAAATCTTCTTCCTCTTCCTGGTGAACAATTTGTGATACTATTAATGGAATCAATTCCCCTACTTCAGTCATGATTTTCCGCCGTTCTGGTGTTACTGAGGATTCGAACTCATTACTGTCCTCCAATGTCAGAACTTCATTGAATTCAGCCACATTATGGCCCATCAAGTGAAATTCTCCTTGTTGTTTTTCTAGTTTCTTAGTATCACCAATGATACCCTCAACTTCATTCGATATAACTTCAGCAATACTCAGTGACGTCTTCTCCTCAATAATAGATTTCCCTTTTTTTTCATCCAGTTTACTTTCTCCAAAATGTTGGAATGTATTTAATGCAGTCATCTGCATTGTTTCTGCAATATCATGAACCGTGACATTAGATTTTGCCGTTGTAAAATCAGGTTTTCGTGGACTTTGTAAAATTCCCTCGGTTTCACTCGATTCTATCTCCGATGTGACCAAGAATATCTGTTGTTCAAAACTGGGTTGACAGACTTTTTTCTGAGGTAGTTGATTGATGGACAGATCATTAGTGGTCGTTAATATTGTCGTATGAGATGTTTCAGCTATTTCACCACCGATTACCTGTGCTTCGGCTGTTTGCAAACTTGGTACACCAGTCATTATCAGGTTACTCTCCTTATCATTGACAGCAATTTGTGAAGTGATTACTGAATCAAATTCTTCATAACTTGGAGTACTGTTTTCTCTTTTAACGATTTCATCAGAAAAGTTGGCAATACTATTTAGTGTCAAAATTTCAGAGGTTTCAGGTATCTTATGTGAATATATATCGAAATGAGCCATTTTTTTCTCGGGTTTTTCATTGTCTGAGAGAATTTCTTCAGTTTCACTTGGAAATGCTTGTGACACTTCCACGGAAAGCATTTCACTTATATTGGATTCAACCTTCTTTACATCTGGAATAACATCTTTAGTGAGTTCTCGTGCAGTATATAATGGAGTAATCTGTGAGATTTCTGGCACTTCGTGCCCTGAAAATTTCGAGACAGCTCTTTTCATATTTGCTTCATTTTCCATTAGCTCCTGACCGGTTTCATCCAATACGACTTGTGAAACTTGGACTGATGACAATTTTTCAAGACCAAATTCACTCTTCTGTTCATTCAATTTGAGTTCGTTCATTTCTCCAAGATTTGTTAATGTCAGGCTCTGTTCAATTTCAACTAGCTTGTGACCATCAACTGATATCTGCGCATTCTTGGTGCTCTGGGCAATTTGGTGAGGTAGTGACTCTTCCGTTTCGGCAGATATTGTTTGAGATACAATAATGGGGATTATATCGTTATGAGTGTACTGTGCTATTTGCTTCTTTAGAGTATGTTCGTCGCGGATTTCCTCAGAATTGAGCAAGGCTGTGATTTCCATTACTTTGGGTACTCTATAGCCTACGAATTGCGCTTCGGCACTCTTCTTTTCTGGGATCTCCAAATTTGATCCTTGTATTTCATTTTCATTGGAGACAATTTGTGAAACTGTTATCGATGACAATTCCTCTAGATGAAGATTCCCTCTCTGATCTAGTATTTTCATTTCATCAATATTTTCTACAGTACCTAGCGTCAAAGTTTGTGACTGTTCTGCAATGTCATAACCAGTAATTTGCGTCGCCGCATATTTTCCAGTAGTTTTTTTCTCGTCTTGAAGGAGACCCTCTGACTCCCCCGAAATAGTTTGTGAGATACTCATAGGTTGAAATTCTAAGATAGTTTGATTTCCTTCTTTTTCATCTGGCAGTACTGATTTTATAAATTCTTGAGTACTGAGTAGAGTTTCTACTTGAGATGTTTCAGCTATTTGGTAACTGGAGAAACTCATCAGGGCATTACTCTCTTGAGATTTACCAGCTGACACTAGATTTTTTTCAACTTCATTGGACAATACTTGAAGGACTTCCAATGGTATTAAAGCGTTTATTTCAGGTATACCCTTCTGTATGTGAGGTACATCTATCTTTAGAATGTCTTCAGCCAGTAATACAGAACCAACTTCCGAAGTCTCTACTATTTGTCTTCCATCCAAATTGACAACAGCTCTCTCTTTCTCTGATATTGATGAAATTCGCAAAGGATTTTCAGTTTCATGAGGTAAGGTTTCAGTAACTACCAGTGATGCTAAATTATCAATGTTAAATTTACTTTTCACTAGCTCATAGTTTAGAGATTCGGCAAGTCCTTCAACTTCTCTAACTGTTTGTACTTCTGTGGTTAAAACAACGTCACTACCAGAAATATTCTGGAGTGCCTGCTGAAAGTGTGGTATTCGTTCCATCGCCAGAGTATTTTCTATCTCATTAGTTGATATTTCTAGAATGGAAATTGGATTTAAGCTATTTACTTGCGGAATCCCTTTATGCATCTCACGTTTACATTGATTATCAAGCATACCCTCATGCTCTCCAATTGTTGTTTCAATCTTAATCAATGACTCCACAGTTGGCTGAGTGATGACAGCCTGAGACATATTTGTTTTTTCATCCTCCATTTTTTCAATACCTTGAATTACTTCAGTTTGACACTCTTGTAAGCCCTCAAGAATATTGAATTCTGAAGTGGCCCTTGAATGTGGAGGCATGACAACTTGGCTGAATTTATCCTCTTTATAACCAGTAGTTATTTGGCATATTTGAATTGGCTTACTTTCTTGAATATTGAACTCAGCCAGTTGATAAGAGCGCTTCGAATCGTCTATTAACGATCTTTCGGTCTCCTCAATTGTATTTTCTACAACTGTTAGGCATTCGAATGTACTTTGACTCGGAACAGCTGTCTGAGGTAATATATCATCAATAACTGCTTTACTTTCCATATTACTACGAGAATCAATCACTGTTGTCAATATACTTCCATGCTCTGTAACAATCATTGTTGCCGCTTCTCTTGGCACAATTAATGGCTGTTCTTTGAAAGATATCTCAAATTCGTTTGTAATCGTCTCAGAAATTGATATTTCGTGATCCATTTCTACTGATGGAACAATATTATTAGAAATGGGTTTTGAATATCTATCAAGGACTTGTTCCCTTTCAATCAATGGGAACTCTGCAATGATGACTGACTGCAGAGTATCTTGTTGCGAATTCGCTGTCTTTTGATCGCTATCAAATGATTGTAATAATCCTGCACTTTGATCAGTTATTATTTCATTTTTCAATGCTATCCCTTGATTGGATTGTGTTAAATTGATCTTAGCAACTTCTGCCATGTATTCCGGTATCTTCATGGTATCTTCTTTATCGTGTAAGATGACTTCATCAACTATTATACTCTCATCGTTTGTTAAAGATGTAAGAGCATGTCCGATAAACGATGTAGAAACTTCTTCGAAATGTGAACCAATTTCTTGAGGCAATGTTTCAGTAATCTGAAGAGATCGGAATGTATTTTGTATTTTCATAGCTTCAGCTTCAGCTATTGTTTTTGGTACGAATCCCCCGATCGCTTCTCTAGGAATTATTTGACTTTGTTGAATAACTTGTTGACTTTCTGAAATCGTTTCAGCAGCTTGTTTCTTTGTTTTTTCACCTATGGGTAGTTCTTTTTCAAGATCTTGAATTACAGATGTTTCAGTGATGAGGGAATTATACTCATTTATTCCAATTCCAGCGATTTCTAGCATAGGTTTCCTTTGAATTGTATCCCTCTCGCATTCGCCAACAACGTTTTCAGTAAGTTGAATTGTTTCAAATGGTTTCTGTTCGAGCACTGCTTGCGCTGAAATGGGTTTATCTATCACCAAACTACTGGCGGCTATATTGGCGATTATTTCTGATTGAAGTGCGACTTTATGCTCGGTTTTTGGATATGAAAATTCTAGTTCTGTTTTACCATTGGGTGAAACGTTGAATGGTATTTCTTTATCGTCAATAATTACTTGAGTGACTGTTAATCCACAGCGTCCCTGTTCAAAGGTGAGCTCAGCATCTTTCAAATTGACTCCGGTTCTACTGAATGACACTTCTTTGTCAACCGAAATTTCTTCTGATATTACAAGACTCTTGTGAGTTCCGTGGGTCAAAATTGCTTTCTGACTGTTCACCTCCGTACCATCTACTTCGGCGAGTGCGTCTTGCACCGCTATGGTTTTGGTCTCAGCTACTTCAAGTTTTGAATCAAGTTCAACTGATGCAATTTTCGTACTGACCAAAGCATCTGATTTGTATTTATTTTCCTTATCGTTAATTATCATTTCAGCGACTGTGATAGGATTTTTCTCGGATTCAACATCGACTTTTGCACTATGAACCCTTGGTTTCACTTCAAGTATTAAGCTATCTTCTACTTCTCCAATGACTGGCTGAGAGTTTGTTAAATGATTATGGGATTCAGGATAGAAATTTGCTGTAGAAAATTCTGGACTTTGATCAGTGAAATTTTCAGCGCTATTTTCAATAATATGTAGGTTAGTCTCAGGAACTATTAAACTTCCGGATAAACCTTCATGAGCCATTTTCGTTACAGGCAATTCTAGCATTCGATAATCATTTTCTTTATCTTCCGCGATTACCATGATAACATTGACACTTTGATCTTCACGAAGTGATATATCAGCAACAATATGATTTGGCTGCACAGTTGGTATATATACGCTTTCTCTCTCTGCTGGTTGCGTTATACAATTAATCACAGTTTCTATGGGAATCTGTGATGGACTGACGACAGCCAGTGCCGGTGGAGTTTCATGTAATAAACCTATCGAAGAATCAAGAGTAAATTCCATTGTTTCTGAAATGCAGCGATCTGTTGTTACTTCTAAGAGAGCGTTCTTTTCAGCAGGTCTGATTGGAATTGGCAATATATCCTCCTTATCCACAGTTAAAATTTCTACATTACTAGTAACATTGCCACCATCCTTTATAATAATTTCTGCTTTTTCAGTTGTCATATCAGGTGATTTCGCAAACTCTTGTTCGCGAATTGATGCAACAGTTTCAATTTGAATGATACCTTCTAATGGCGAATGGCCTTGTTTTGCAATTGCTAAAATTGGAGCGCTACTTTCCAATTCATCAGTTATTGATGAAGTAATGACCTCAACGAGTTCAGCAGTTCTGTGGGTATCTATATTGGTCGTGGCCTGTACCATAGGTGAAATTTCTCGTTGATTATAATCCTTTTCCTTTTCAGAAATTATAGGTTGCATAATATGAATACCCATTTGTGCCTCTTCATAAACAATGTCTACAATTTTATCGTCCGGCCTACAGAAATAATCCATAGAACTTTCAGAATCCTTTGGATAGGCTTCGGTAATGATAACGCTCTTGAACGGAATTTGATTTTGGACTGCCTTAACAAGTTGACTATCTTCCAATTTCATTTGAAAAACATCATCATGGGGCATAATTTCCGTAGCTTCGGCTACTGGATGAGAAGAAATATCTAGGTTTGCAGATTTTGATGTACGTTTTTCATCATCTTTCATTGGACTCTCCTTCTCCCCAATTTCAACTAACGACACTGTTATCATCTCTCCAATATCGGTAGTTAGTTCCGCTTTTCGGTCAAATGTTTCCATTTTAAGCAATATACTTTCAGCATCTGCTGTATAGACTTCTTCAGCTACGGCAATTGGTAATGATGGTAAGCTTATTTCAGGCTTTGCATTTTGTATTTTTTCCGGAACACATGTACCAAGGTTTGTATCACCGAGAATTTCATATTTTGAAGCAACATTCTGAATTTCAAACTGCACTGAAGCTTTTCTACTTTTTGGAATTTTCTCCTTCTCGAGCTCCTCTTCTCTATCCTGCGAATTAGTCAGTGTTATTTCTAACCCTGTCTCCTCTATAAAAGTAATATCAATATTATTGTGGCTTGGTTTGATTGTTTCGAGAAGCATGGATTCTTTCTCAGTGACCATGAATTCTGTTTGTTGCACAGTCGTCAATTCATTGCATTTAGGTGTTGCCTTTTCCATTTCAAATTGTACGTGAGAAAATGCATCAACATTATTTGCAACGACTGTTTCTGAAACTTCGAATATCTCATGACTCGGTGTGAGTTGAATACTTATATTTTTTTCAGGAAATTGTTCCTCAGTCAGTAATTTTTCAACTCTATCAATAGTGGTAATTTCAGTGATCATTATATTTGCTGATGTAGATAAGTTAATCTCTGCTTTATGCTCACTTGGTTTTGAATCGTCTAATCGGGATTTTTCACTCTCTCCCAAATTAGTTTCAACAACGATTAACTCATCGAAAATATCTTGTTTACTAAATGCTTTTCGAGTTCTGGGACTATCCTTGAGCAATTGTCCTGCACTTTGTTCAATCAAAGCTATCGATTGTGTCGCAATTTTATGACCATCAATCAAATTTACAGCCCCATAATTGCAGGTTTCATTTTCCGTGAAATACGTATTCTCCAATTCCTGGGGAATAACTTCGGAAATTACAGCATTCGACTTCACATCAGTCATTTCAATAACAGCAACTTTTTCATCCGGCCTATGATCTTCATGGTAACTATTCTCTTTTTCTGCAAGATTTTGTAACATCATTGTTACACTTTCAAGAGGAACCATAGTTGGTTGAGCAGTTCCAAATGTCGCAGAATCTTTCTTAAAATCCTCGGTAGGGGACTCAGCTCTCACTGTGCATTGCTCAATAGCAGCTTGTGTTTCGAAAGCGGCTGTGGCTATAAGGGAATCGGTCTTAACTTCTTCGTACTCTTTTTCAGTTTCATTTACAATGACTTCTGCTGTTCTCACACTTCCAATTTCGCTCACGGAAAAGTTGGCAATTTTACTTTCAGGCATGATGCCTTCAATCACCGGTTTAATATCCTCAGCTGATACGATGATACCTATACTTATTCCTCTCAAATGGTCTTGTCCAACATTAGCTTTTCTTTCCGCTGGTAATTGCTCTTTCAGAATTTCCAGATCAAGTTCAGGCTTTATTTCTTGTACTTGAAAAGATATACTATGGTGTGTTGGAACTATTTCTCCTTTGTGAGTCTCAGGCATATCATATATCTCAAGTTGTGCTTCAGTATCCACTATTGTTGTCTGAGAAATTGCTACACTTTTCAGGGGACCATAAATGGTTTCACTAATTTTCTCTTCACATTTTTCTAATTTAGGCAGTTGATTTTCCCTCTCATTGGTTAAAATTTCTTGAATTATTGCAGTTTCTGAAGTTGTCACTGAGGCCGTCCCTGTTTCAGTAATGTATCTAAGTGTATCAGAGAAATCTGAAGGTAAATCACCTGAATGAATCTCAGAAATGTTCAAATGCGTTTCAGTATCAACGGAGGTTTCGGCAACTGCAAGTGTTGGTGTCACTTTCTCGCTATAAGTACCTTCAGCTTCTTGAATTATGGTATCTGATATACTCCCGATTTCCAGCAGTGACATGGTACTATTGGCTATTTTTTCAAGAGGTATGGCATCCATTTTATATTCGATTTCCTTATCCGATGGGACTGTCTCAATTGTTAAAATTGAATTTGACTCTATAACATTCACGTCAGCTACAATCTGTTTATTTTTTTGTAATTCCAGTTCCCCCTCTTGATTATGACTTTCCACAGTAGAAATGGTTAAGCTTTCTAATACATCAATGGATTTATCTACTTGGCAAGAATGTACTTCTTCATTTGATAGGATCGAATCAACTGTTTCTCGCAAGATTTGTTCACTTATTGTTGAAACTTCACCACCTTCAGAAACATTCACTTTCGCTTTTTGATGAATTGGTACTGCTGTCGGAACATAATCTCTTTCTTTTTCGGATGCAAATACTTCGCCAATAGTGAATTGTTTTTGAGGGATAAAACTCGAAGTTCCCATTTCCGTTGGAACAATCAGTTCTGGGTAGTATTTTTCTGGTCTATCTTCCGGTTGTACTTCTTCAACTTGCAGGTGTCCAACTGTATCAATGAGAACTCTAGACTGCGCAACAAGAATTTGAGATGAGTCGAATTTGTCTTCCAGTAAGCCTTCATTAACCTCGTAAACTGATAAACCAATATGAGATAGTATTGAATCTTCAACATTCACTGCAGCTGGTTGGAAAAAATTCTGTGCAGCAACTTCAATTTCATTGGTTGTCATTTCAGTAACTGTTGTTGCCTCTTTGAGGGAGAGATTCAAGTTTGCTGTTTGTATTGTTGGTTCAGGTTTTATATTTAGCTTTATGAGTTTATCATCACTTGAAAGTGTTTCCGTTACTTGAATTCCCTCTTTAGATATAATATTAGCTGTAATATTACAGCACATGGATGGAATTCGTTTGGTCAACTCCTCGGTTGAGCTTTGAATTGTAGTTTCAGTAGTTGAATATGGCTGTACGGAAGGTATCGAAAGCATTGCATATTTTTTGTCAACTTGTACTTTATCGATGGTCTCTATACCATCTTCAAGTGGAACGGATTGGGTAGTAATTACTTGGATTGCATCTACTTTTATAATGGCTCTATCTAACTGTGGTTTATCGGCAGCCTGATGAACTGCATTAGAAAAAGACAGTACTGATTGATATTCGTGGGGAATATTTTCAGGGAGTGAGTAAACAACCTTTTCTGGAGCAACTTCCAAAGTGTTTACTTCTTCGAAATAGTTTTCGTCAATTCTTTGCTGCGAACTATTGGGTTTAAGAGTAATTCTTTCTATAGTAACATCTTCTATCTCTCCTTGCCTCATCAAGTTTCTATCAATTATTTCTCTTTTGCTATATATTCCTTCTTCGTGTTCTTCTTTTTCTTTCTCTTTATTTGTTTCATGTCTTCTGACAACTTTGCGAGTAGTAATGATCTCTTCATCATTTATGTCAGTTTCTCTTTCAAATTTATCAATATCTCTTTCTTCTGTTACTCTTCTTTTGATGGACAGCTCCCTGTCATCTTGCTCAAGTTGAATCTGCTCTTTGATTCTTCCCTCGTTCATTTTATTTCTACCCTCAGCTAGATTTCGTAAAATTTGAGGCTTGAATTCTTCTGATTTTGTATCTTTGTGCTGTGTTTCGTGTACTTGCTGAATGTCCTCGTATTCTGTGAAAATTATGTGATGGTAATGTGCGTGTAATTTATAAAATTGTTGCAGAAAAAATCATATCACTCGCCTCTTTTAGTTAATACATAAATCGACCGATACATATGATTATTACACCGTTCAATTGACGATATTTCAGCTACGTGTGCGGCCGTGCAGCTCATGCGACAAAAAATTTTACTTAGTGCAGACGCTCGAATGAAATTTATGAGTGTGTAAAATACCTATCATGTGTTGTAATATGTGCATCAATGCAGTATAAATAGACAAGTAACAGAAGTCAAACCAATGAAGAAAAAGGAATGTGTATGATCTTGGCATAATAGTTTGTAATTTTTTATATTATTTCTGGAGAAATTTAAAGGAGTAGTTGGATGAAAATTTAAATGCATAACACACTTTGATCATTCTAATCGTTCGTCATATAAGATGTTGTAATTTTCATCTTTACATGTCTGTTCGTTGAACAGATATCTATACTTTTTTAGCATATTGAACATACATTTATTTTCCAGTACTTACAGCATTTTGTTAATTCTTTGCAAGGTTCTCGATCTAACCAAAGCAGCAATTATCATAAATGAGGTGGGAAGGGAATTTCTAATGTATTTCTTTAATAATAGAATCATGTTATTGGGCACAGAAAGCATAGCGGCATAAAAGCTGTAAGTTCGTATACTGGTTTAGAATGTCTTCATTCATGAAACCGTCAAGCATCTGCAAAGAAATAAGCAATATTTACAGTAAGATTGAGAAAAAAATTCAAATAATCTAAAATGAGCTAAATTGCTTATCAACTGAATCAATAGACTCAATTCATGATCTTTTTCAAAATTCTTATCAAATATTCCAATATTGGAAATTGATAGAAATGATCTTTCACATAAAACTAAAAACCCTCTTTCATGCATTTTAAATAACACTTGCGAACCTTTAATTTCTTGAAGAACATGTTCTACCGCAGTTCTTTCCTGCTCATGTTTTTCTATATTATGAAGCAGAGAAAATTTTATAAACGTTAGGTTATAACAAATATGATTTCAAGTAATAATTCATGATAAACAATTTTTAACGTACCCATGATGTGAATTTCGCTTTTTTGTACGCTAGAAGATACTTCTTGCATATTCTCTTGAACTTCGCCCTTTTAAATTTGTAAGAAAAGTTAATTCATTTCAATTCAATATTGATATGGAAATAGAAAAATACTCGCTCTTTTGCAAATAGAAAATAATCATAAATACCTCATTAAATTCAGTAACTTCCCATGCTCTCGTTCGAAAATCTTCCGGAGCAAAATGAGTGATAATTTCTTCTACTGTGGCGTGTTGCAATTCAACCATTCTCATGAAAGCACGGAAGCCAACAGTTGCAGCTACTATACTTTCGTCAGTTGTAGTTTCTTCGGTGAGGACTTGAGAGATTAATGGTCCATGTCCTTCCCTCTCTACTAATTGTACTAATGCATTCTGGGCGTCGGGAGTTCGTAATGCAGGAAAATAATGAGATTGATATAGACTTTCATTGATTTCATTTACGGACACCCCATTATCAATGAGAAAGCCAATAGTTGCTAGCTCTCTGAGGGGTAATTCACCAGGACCAAATTCTTTGGCATTCACCAGATCCATTGTCTCCTCCACGGCCTGAGAAAGATTCTCTTTTTGATCATTAATGACCTTCTCAACCGTAACATCAATACGCTCGCGCCTTTTATCCCTCTTCTTCTTCTTCGGTTTATCTTCAGTTAATTCTGTAATATGCGAATCACTCACCTCGAGTGTGCGTTCCATTGTAACTGTGGTTTTCCGCGCATATTTCATTTTTGGAACAGATTCATCAATCTCTTTAATATTAGTTTCTGTAACAACTTGAGAGACGGATAGTGTTTCAAACATATCAGTAGTCATTTCAGCATGATCAGTTGTAGACTCTAGTTTTAATTCTAAAATATTATCCTCTGATACTAAGGGGGTAGCAATGAGTAATGCTTCATGTGCTTCCGCAACTCGTTTGGCCCGTTCATCCAAAATCAATACCACTGACTCAGACTTCTTATCTACTTTCTTCAGAGAGGCCGTTGCTTCGGTTATTACTGGCTCATGGATTGAAATTGAATGTTTTGCTTTAGATTCTTCGAGAGATGATTCCTCTATCAGATCAGCAGATTCATACGCTGGTATTTGTTTTTCTGCTGACCTTTTTCTATAAATGAAAAATTGAAATTACACAATATTTTGGACAACATTTTGCAATCAATGAAGACATCAACTCACTCTTGCTCTTTCACCAATTCTTTTTCCTTTTGTACTTTCTCTTTTCTGACATTCATCTTTTCTCTAGTGTCTTTGAGTTTCTTCGCTTCAGATATCTTTTTTTTCTTATCATGCTGTATTGGAAGTTCTATTTTTGTTTCTTTTTTCTTCCTTTGCCCAGGACCTTGAAAGAAATATACATGCATGTTAATTTATAAATTAATGTTTTTTTTATTATTAAATTTGCTATCAATATAATTTACAGTCATTAGAATGAGAAATATACCAGATACTTGTAATTTGGCTTTGGTTACAGCTAAGCCTATATCACTGGTTGCCTTACAAACGTAAGTAGCCGTGTCTTCTGATGTTGCATGAAAAATTGTCAAAGTGGTTTTCTTCTCATCATCAAGTAACTTCACTTTCACATTATCCGTATTCATTAGAAGTTTATCATTTTTATACCAGACAACATCTGGCGAGGGATTGCCAGAATAGGATGTTTCAAAAATGACCTCTTCACCATCTACTGCATAAGCGTCTACAAGTTCATGTACAAATCGAGGAATCTGCTGTGTAGCTGGAAATAATTGGAAAGATAGACTTGCAAGTTGAGAATGTATAATGGCACTGTTTAGTTCATCAGTACAAACAATACGAAGACAATCATGTCATCTGTAGATTGCATCGGAACCACAGACAGCATAAACGAATATTTATAACTTATATTGTGAATGCCAGAAAATACTTTTTTTTACCTCGCAGAGCTTCTTGCATCTCTTCCATTTGTGTTACCCACTCTGGCTTTCTATATTCCTTAGTTCCAAGAATACCTGGAGAAAATCGTTTATATTAATGGAAAATATTCGAGAGCATCAATCAAATGAGAAATGAATGTTTTCAGTGTATATGTTGGTCATGTTCTAGGATTGAAGGATTGCGGGATTGGACTTAAATTTCCAAACGCGGCATCTGAAATCACCTCAATAATAAGGCAAAAAACAATGAATGTTAAAAAATGAATAAATACTTTGCTCCTTTTTCTGCAATTTCAGCGCTATCATATTACCTCCAACTGATAAGTAAGTTGTTGTGGTGCACACGCCCATTGCATTATGTGCCTCGTACACGATCTCACCAGTATCATCTGGATATGTTTCGCTAATGGTGAGAATTGAGCTACCATCTTCAAATTCTTCAATTTCGAATTCATCTGAAGGTAATATTTGAATACCTTCTTTGTACCACTTGCCCGTGGGTCTCGGTTTACCTGTTACTTTGACTTCCAATCTGTATAATATACAATCAATCATATAATTGCTTCGAGTAAATTAGAATTAATAGTATCGAAAGTTTACCTGATCAATTCACCATCTTTGGAGCATATTATTTTGGGAAGCTCTTTAATAATTTGTGGAGGGGATTCATCGACATGAATATCCAACGAGGTACTTTCCTTGAATGCAAAAAAGTAACTGTATAATAAGCTCTAACGTATTTTAAATATAATTTTACACAAGTACTTCTTTTAAAAAAAACCACTTGAAAATCTTGAATTACTGAAAATAAATTTTCATATCTCGTCGTGCAATAAGCCGAATTTATCACACTCGAATCTTGCACGAAATGATAAAAAATTATAAACCATTTAAGCATAAACATAGTTTTTAACGAATTTGATTACAATTGTACACTTGACATTGATCGAAAACAAAATTGGTACTTTTTAACTCAAATATACTATTATGGCACCGAGCAAGGGAGATCTTGCTCATTTCCAAAAAATACACAGATTCTACAGAAGGGCCAACCGCAATCAATCTACATGCAGCAGATCACGTCGAAATCATTAATATTCAATCAAATTTTATTTATTCATCAATGATAAAACGTATGAACTTTCCGAATGGTATCGATGAGTTATGGTAATGGCCTCGAATATAGAAATCAGAAATTTCATGATATCTACAAGATTCACGATCTCTAGAAACTTTAAAAAAAAATTCATGAAAAAAAAAAATAGAATCATGGAAAATAATCATCTGCAAATGTACATATAAGCATTCTAAAATATGAAGCAATAGAAGACCAAGTTGACAAATCAATGCGATAAATAGTTGAAAGATATAGAAATAGGATCCAATGATATGTTTTACGTGTAATTATTGGTCTCATTTTTAACACGCCATTTTATATACCTTTGGTAACAAAAGATCTTCTTCGGAGCCACTCTGTCCTCCTATGAGAGAAGTCACATTTGCCGATGATGCAATTTCAGAGTCCGGTACATACTCATATGCTGAAAATACATAAGAAATTCTTCAGTTAATTGTAGAATGAGGGGTACCAATGGGGGGTATTCATTAATTCCTGCATTTTAGTATGTTCATATTCATTTCATTTTCCATTCATGAATTGGGCAGAATGCATCACTATAATTATAATAAATTAACTAAAAAATCCTCCGCGTTCTTCATTTTGTAGATAATATCTGAGAACAATGTCTTCAATACTAATGTATAATTGATTTCTGCGTGACATAGAGATGCACGGTGAGTGATCAAGTAGAATATCTTGAGAGGATTCTTACCGTCAACAATAAGTGTTGTAGTTGATAAGGCCTCGCCGAGTGGATTAATTGCTTGACAAGTATATTCACCAGCATCTTCCGGGAAGACTTCGGCAATGGTGAGACTACAAACGCCTTCAGTATCCTGTGAGATAGTGATGCTCTTGGCCTCTTCAATAGGTTTTTCATTGTGGAACCATTGAACTTTAGGTGTTGGCTTTCCTTTCAAAATGCATGAAAAATCAACACCCTCACCATCCATCACGCGAATAGGTGATAATCGTTTTACAAAAGTTGGTGAAGTCATTTCTAATGAATCATCCCACGTAGTTTCCAATAAATTGACATTCGTAGTGCATGTTACAGAACCAGCTACATTTTCAGCTCTGCAAGTATATGCACCAGCATATTGAGGGGTCATTTTTTTAATCAAAAGAATTGAACGATTTTCTTTTGTAGTGATTCTCACAGACGTAGACCCTTCTAAGAGATTGTTTCCATGGAACCATTGAAACGATGCCAGAGGGTATGAATGAACAGTAGCTTCAATAATTACTACCTCATCAATTTTTACATTTTGAAGTTGAAGGGGTGTTTCAAAATATGGCGCTTGAGGTTTATCATTGGAATCAGTTGGAAATTTTTCTAATTCCTTAACAGTCACTGATCCGCTACTTTTTGCTTCACCAAGAGAGTTTTGAACTCTAACTTCATATTTGCCGGAATCTTTCTTAACAATATCAGAAATGAAGAGTTCTGTTCTATTCTCATGTATTATCATACTTTGTTTATGAGATGGTTTTATCTCCATCCCGTTTTTATACCATTTAATTTCTGGCATCGGCTTACCGTCAAATTCTGCAACTAATGTTAAAGATTCACCTTCATCTACAATGCATGCTGGGAGTGGTTTTGTAATCTTCGGTGCATGTAAGACTTCAGGTTGAGATGTAACAACTATATTTCTGATGAGCAAATTCGCTCGACACTCTGCTTTTCCAAATTTGTTGATTGCACGAACTCGATAAATTTTTTCTTCCTCCGATACTGATTTTAATAGAGTAAGTTTCGCCTGACCGGTTTCGGGATTAAAAGTAATTTCGGTTCCTTCAACTGGTTTAATTTCGTCTTCACCCCAATACCATCTGACTTCTGGCATTGGTTTGCCAATAACAGTACACTCAAAAGTCGCTACATCATCTTCCTCAATGATGACTGGTTTTATTGGTATTGTAAATTGTGGAGGTAGTCCTTCTTCTTCTTTTTCTTCAATTATTATCAAAAAATAATAGAAAATTAATAATTATTTATATTACAATGATACGTGAATGATGAATTCCATATGTAAGATTCGAGAATTAATATATTAATTGACACTTACCCAAAATAACAAGGTTTACTGTGGATGTTGCAACACCAGCGGGATTCGAAGCTCTACATGTATACATTCCGACATCCTCGTCCGTGGGATTAGTTATCAATAGTGTAGCAGTTGTTTCTGCGTTTGTCATTTCATATTTTTCTGAAGCGTGAAGCTCTTGTTCATTTTTATACCATGTAATTTCAGGAGAAGGGTGACCAACTACTGTACAAAGAAACTTGGCAGTTTTTTTAGACTCAACAATAACTGGTTGCAACTTCTGAATAAATCTGGGGGCTACTTTCTTATCTTTATCAATAATTGGCATTTGTCTTCTTTTAAGTTTTATAGTTTGATCCTGATCCTGAACAATTTCACGTGAATTAAAATCTTGAATTTCAGGAACCTTCGGAACAATATCAAATGCCCTCTGATCATCCATAACATTCAAATCATCTTCACCTATTTTTGATATTATCGTTCTGGATTCCTTTGATGCATCATTGACAGTCATTTGATGGTCTGTGACTTTTGAAATTATATATTCAGATGACTCCATATCAAGAGGAACGACTTCCGTACTCTCTTCCATAGTAATCTCATCAATTGCAGTTCGTTTGATAGACTTTTTTATTCCAGTCGGTTTTTTCAGTCTTATTTTTTCATCAGACATCTCAACTTCACGAGTTGTCTGATGTTGATCGATAGGAACTATTTCCACCTCTCCTCTGAAATTCACTGCCTTTTTCGATTTTTTCGGCTTTACCTTTGATAGTAATGAGTCAGTTTTGAGCTTCGTTTCGACGATTTCCTCAATTTCCGTACATGGCATCTCAGTGGATATGGTTTCTGTTATCTGTAAATGTTTATTCTCTTGCTTTGGCAATTCTGATGAAAGTTTACCAGTGGATTCTGGCGGAGATATTTTCAGTGCCTGAATTGAAATATTTTCTCTATCCTCCTGAACAAGACGTGGTGACCTTCCTATTCCATTTTTTTTCATTTTGGAATTCTTCAATTCAACACTAGTTTGATTTTCTTCTATATGATCTTCAGATTTTTGAGCATGTTCAATTGGTTTAAGAGCTGAAGGGTTCGAACCTCTACTTGAAATGATTACAGTATCGGTTTTCTCTGCATTCTGGACCATTTTTTCCGGCATAATTGTCATTGAAGCAGACTGTGTTTCAGGTTCTTCCTTCCCCTCTGGCTTTTTACACTCTTGAGAAGTCTTAATATGAACATTTTTTTGGATTTCCTTGTTAACAGGTTTTTCATGTTGATTGGATGGAGAGATTTCATTTTTATCGTCGCCTTCACGTTCCATTGGCTTTTCATCCACCTGATCTGCAGGTTTTTCAACGTGTTCAATTGGTTTAGGAAGTATTGATTCCGAAGGCTGAATTTTAATTAACTCAGTTTCTTTTTTCTCTATATCCTGGAGTGATTTTTCGGAAATTATTGAAGTACCTTGCACATGAGGTTTGTAATGTTTAACCGCTTCTGAGATTTCTTTTTGGCTTCCCGTCTTTTCATTTTCACGGAGAGTCTCATTTGAAACCTTCTTTTGAACTTTCTTGTTACCAGGTTGGCGTTGCCAGGGAAATGAAGATATTTCATTCTTATTTTCTTTAAGTTGGATTTGCTGTTCATCTAAATGCTCTACTGATTTTTGGATATCTTTAATTGGTTCAACAATTGAGGTATCTGAAACTTGAGTTTCAACTATCTCAGTCTTGTCTTTCTCTATTTTCTGGAGCAATTTTTCGGGAATCATTTTTCTCGAAGTAAATTGCACTCGTTCATCATTCAATTGCTCTCCAGATTGTTGAAAATCTTTAATCGTTTCGATAATTAACGAATTTGAATCCTTAACTTCAATTACCGCCGGCTTTTTCTCCTCCATATCCTGGTGCGTTATTTCGGGAACCATTGTCATTGAACTACTTTGTGTACTTTGAGATTTACGTTGCCAAACTACTTGTGAGATTTCATTCCTACTTTCCTTTTCTTCGCTTCTTTGGGAAGTCTCAACAGGAATTTTCTTTTGAACTTTTTTGCTGCTAAGTTTTCGACGCCAGGGAGATGAAGATATTTCACTTTCATCTCTTGGTTTAAGCTGCTCTTGGCCTTCATCTAACTGCTGTGCAGATGATTGTACATTTTTTGTTGATTCAAGAATTAACGAGTCGGATTCCTGAGTTTTAATTATATCAGCATCCGTGTTCTCTATATCCTGGAGAGTTTTTTCGGGAATAATTGTCATCGAAGTACTTTGTGTTTGAGGTTTACGACGCCAAGCTACTTCGGAGATTTCTTTTTTGCTTTCCTTCTCTTCAAATTCTTGGGAAGTATCAACAGAAACTTTCTTTTGAACTTTTTTGCTGCCAGGTTTTCGACGCCAGGGAGATGAAGATATTTCACTTTTATCTTTTGGTTTAAGCTTCCCTTGTCCTTCATCTAACTGCTGTGCAGATGATTGTACATCTTTTGTTGGTTCATGAATTAACGAGTCGGAATCCTGAGTTTTAATCATCTCAGCATCCTTGTTCTCTATATCCTGGAGAGTTTTTTCGGGAATAATTGTCATCGAAGTACTTTGTGTTTGAGGTTTACGACGCCAAGCTACTTCGGAGATTTCTCGTTTACTTTCCTTCTCTTCACATTCTTGGGAAGTATCAATAGAAACTTTCTTTTGAACTTTTTTGCTGCTAGGTTTTCGACGCCAGGGAGATGAAGATATTTCACTTTCATCTCTTGGTTCAAGATTCTCTAGCCCTCTATCTAACTGATAGGTAGATGTTTGAAAATCTTTTGTTGGTTCACAAATTAACGAGTCTGAATCCTGGGTTTTACTGATATCAGCCTTATTTTTCTCTATATCCTGAAGAGTGTTTTCGGAAATCATTGTTATTGAAGTACTTTGTATTTGAGGTTTATGAGGCCAAGCTACTTCGGAGATTTCTTTTTTGTGTTTCTTCTCTTCACTTTCTTGGGTAGTATCATCAGAAACTTTCTTTTCAAATTTCTTGCTGCCAGATTTTCGACGCCAGGGAGATGAAGATATTTCACTTTTATCTTTTGGTTTAAGCTTCCCTTGTCCTTCATCTAACTGCTGTGCAGATGATTGTACATCTTTTGTTGGTTCATGAATTAACGAGTCGGAATCCTGAGTTTTAATCATCTCAGCATCCTTGTTCTCTATATCCTGGAGAGTTTTTTCGGGAATAATTGTCATCGAAGTACTTTGTGTTTGAGGTTTACGACGCCAAGCTACTTCGGAGATTTCTCGTTTACTTTCCTTCTCTTCACATTCTTGGGAAGTATCAATAGAAACTTTCTTTTGAACTTTTTTGCTGCTAGGTTTTCGACGCCAGGGAGATGAAGATATTTCACTTTCATCTCTTGGTTTAAGCTGCTCTTGTCCTTCATCTAAATGCTGTGCAGATGATTGTACATTTTTTGTTGATTCAAGAATTAACGTGTCGGAATCCTGAGTTTTAATTATATCAGCATCCGTGTTCTCTATATCCTGGAGAATTTTTTCGGGAATAATTGTCATCGAAGTACTTTGTGTTTGAGGTTTACGACGCCAAGCTACTTCGGAGATTTCTTTTTTGCTTTCCTCCTCTTCAAATTCTTGGGAAGTATCAATAGAAACTTTCTTTTGAACTTTTTTGCTGCTAGGTTTTCGACGCCAGGGAGATGAAGATATTTCACTTTCATCTCTTGGTTTAAGCTGCTCTTGTCCTTCATCTAAATGCTGTGCAGATGATTGTACATTTTTTGTTGATTCAAGAATTAACGTGTCGGAATCCTGAGTTTTAATTATATCAGCATCCGTGTTCTCTATATCCTGGAGAATTTTTTCGGGAATAATTGTCATCGAAGTACTTTGTGTTTGAGGTTTACGACGCCAAGCTACTTCGGAGATTTCTTTTTTGCTTTCCTCCTCTTCAAATTCTTGTGAAGTATCAACAGAAACTTTCTTTTGAACTTTTTTGCTGCTAGGTTTTCGACGCCAGGGAGATGAAGATATTTCACTTTCATCTTTTGGTTTAAGCTTCCCTTGTCCTTCATCTAACTGCTGTGCAGATGATTGTACATCTTTTGTTGGTTCAAGAATCAATGAGTCGGAATCCTGAGTTTTAATTATCTCAGCATCCTTATTCTCTATATCCTGGAGAGTTTTTTCGGGAAATATCGTCATTGAAGTACTTTGTGTATGAGGTTTGTGTCGCCAAGTTTTTTCAGAGGTTTCTTTTCTGGTTACTCTCTCTTCACTCTTTTGGGAAGTCTCAGTAGAAACTTTCTTTTGAAATTTCCTGCTGTTAGGTTTTCGACGCCAGGAGGATGAAGACGTTTCGTTCATATCTTCTTGGTCAAAAATCACTTGCACTCGATCCAACTGAGCTACAGTTGGTTGAAAATTTTCAAGTGATTCAGGAATTGATATGTCTGAATCCTTGCTTTTGATTATTTCAACATCTTTATTCTTTGAATCCGGGAATGTTTTCTCGGGGATGGTTATTAGTGAAGTACATTGTTTTTGAGGTTCTCGACGCCAAGCTACTTCGGATGGTTTCTTTTTGATTTCCTCGTCCTCACTTTTCTGAATAGTTTCCAGAGATATTTTCTTTTGGACTTTTTTGGTACCAGGTTTTTGAGGCCAGGGTAATGAAGATATTTCCTTCGTATCTTCTTGTTCAAGATTTGCTCGTTGTTTATTTAACTGTTCTGCAGATATTGGGAACTTCTCAATTGATTCAACAATTAACGAGTTTGAGTTCTGAGTTTCAATTATCTCAGCATCTTTTTGGCTCATATCTCGAGGTACTTTTTCGGAAGTTATTATCTTTGTAACAGTCTGTATAGAAGAAACTTCATCTTGTTTCTCATTTTTTTTAATCACTTGAAGATGATCAATAGAGACTTCTTCGTGAACTTTTTTGGTGCTACTTTTTCGATCCAACGGAACTGAAGATATATTGTTATTATTTTCTTCAAGATTCATTTCAATTTGTTCAGAATCAATTTGTCTGAGTAGGGTTTTCTTCTGCTTCCCTACTGTGTGTGTATAGTGATCGACAGCCTCAGGTTTTTTATCTTTCAATGTTTTCGACTGGTTATCGTTTTCTTTGCGCTTGAGTATTTTTCTTTTTATATCTTTGGTATGTATCCACGGTAGTTCGGATGTTTGATCTACATCTTCCAAAATGTGGCCTTCCTGTATCACACCTTGAGGATGAACAATGTTTAAGCGTTTTTTACCACGCGTCCAAGGTATAGCAGATTCTTCTCCGGGGAGAGGTTTGTGTTCAGTAATGTGACTAGTTTTATGTGTTTCAAGAATAGAAGTATCCCGTATGTCTTGATACGGCTGTACAGCCAACTTCTCATTTTTTTCAGGAATTATTTCTTGATCACCTGAAGTCACCATTGATTTTTTTACACGTTGGGATCGGTTGAGACTAGTATTTTCCTCTATCCACGGTTTGGGGAGCTCAGGTTTATGTGCAGAAATTCGCACATTGGATTCATGAGAAATGTCACGTTTTGAACTATCTTCTTCAATTGTGAATGTCGAAGTACGAATAGGTTCTAACAGTTGAGGGGATTTCAGTGTAATTTGAACAGGTTGTAGATCTACAGATGGTATACTTCCTTTGATGTTTTCCCGTTTGATAGGCGTGCATTTCTTCAATTGTATGCTTTCCTCTGTCCATGGCTTGCACTGATCCAAGCGTTGAGAAACAATTTTAGACTTCAAAGGGCTTTTTTTCTTCTTAACAATTGAAGTGTCTTCTGAAATATCGGAAATCTCCAATAGAGAAGAATCATCTTCCTCATAAAATTCTGAAGTTAAACTATGTTCTCCGACAGAATCTTCAGAAATCTTCTGTAATTCTACCATTTTAACGTCCTTCTTCGTTTCTTCAATTATTTGTGTAAATGGTTCAAGTTTGACCGTTTCAACAGACTCTTTAGATAATTTTTTAATTGTAGATGGAATTTTTTTCAACTCTACTTGCTCTTCTGTCCATGGTTTAATTTTTTTATAGAGTTCTTTTTTCGTAAATTTGGGTGTTTCCGATTGAGAGTTCTCATCACCAAAATCGTCATCTTCAGTGTTGACTGTCAATTTCACAATCGACTTGGGAACTTTTTTTAATGTAATTCCTTCTTCAACCCAGGGCTTCACTGCAATTCTTTCATTAGTGTTGACATTATCAAAACTTTTGAGAATCTTATTCGTGGGCCGGGATTTATTGTTCCGCCAAGGATATTCATTGCTTGCCTTCGAACGATATTTTACTTTACCCATCCGCCATGGCAAAGACTCATCACCTGGTGGAAGTGAAACGTCAAGTGGATAACGGGGTTCATCCAGTTCAGTGATTTTTTCTTGTGTTATAGGTTCAAGTTTTTGAATTCCAATAGTTGATAAATTTGTTGTAAGTATTTTTGGTGCAGGTAAATGTTGATGAGTGTCTACGGGTATCGTTGTCTCATATCCACTGCCCACTCGTTCTGAAAATTTCGTTAAATAAAAAAAATTCAGTAAGTTTGTTTGCATTTCCAATTGATTATGTTCAAATTATGAACGATTAATCATTGTCATTCATACATTCCGAATTTTACAATAAAGATAATAAAAATAATAACGATAGTGATCCTTCGCTCGAAATGCCATTGTAATGTATCATTGGATTCAAAGTGTTTGATTAATAATTGAAAAAAAAGAACAAAAATAGTCATGTATTTCATTTTTAGGCAGTATAGAATGTCAAACAGTAGATATTGCACACTCCTATCGCCTCCTCACTTACAACTCTTTTTTACCCATCAGGGTCATCATGTGAGGTGGGGGAAAGCGATGTACCGAGTCTTTAAAATAATATGGAGGGGCTATTCTATTTCTCACCACTACGTCAGTTGCAACTGTGGCAAAAAGGTTGCTAGTCATCAGCTGGACATCGTCACAGAAAGCTATCCATACATCATAATGGAATCAGTATTTGACTTGTCAATACTGCGCACAAAATATTTTCAATCCTCTAGTACTAATCAAACTTTGTGACCTATTATTGTCTGGTATTCGAAGTGTATAAGAGTATTCCGAGGCAAAAATAGCATAGTGGAAGGTGTGCATCATTATTTCTTATTCAAGTGGAAAAAAGTTGAACGAAACAGAAATGTTTGTTCGTAAAAACATTTCAAGCTGTGCATTAAAAAAGTGGTCCAAGATTCTTGTGGCTTTTTATTTATTGATAGTTCTTATATATAGTAGCTAGATGCTGCTATATTAACAAATCATAATATAGAAAATCTTGAATACAATGGATATTTTTATTTCTGAAAGGTAGTGCCTTCTTTGTACCTTAAAAGCCTTAGTTTTCCTCCAAAACTTATGCCCCTATTATCGAAATGATAAATATTAAAAAAATACATTAATTCTGCAGTGATCGATAAATTTGACAGTGTTAGAAAAATGATTGGAAATTCTCATTCAACATCCAATATTCTAATAACACTGATGTAATTCGTTAAAGTTTAGAAGGAGGAAAATATTTGTTGATAAGTGAGCTTGTTCCATAATTTAAAAAAATGAAGAATTTAGAATAATACATGAACTTTAAGCAGAATATAAGGATGATTATTTGTAGGAAATGATTCAATCATTTGAAAAATTTTGAAAAAGTTTGAATTCTCTTTTCAACTATTTTCTGATTTTTGTTGTTGTGCTTTGTTTCCTTCGAAACGGGGATTCATAAGTCCCTCCGCTGTAATGGATTCTTCTTCTCCCATTTTACCACATGAAGTGCTATAAGGTCCATTGACACGAATATGTGACCGATTATTTCTAGACTGCTGCATCACCGGAGAATCAGTGTTTTCCCAGGGAAGCCCTTTCCGAAATTGGTGCACAATCTATACAACCGGCTATGATACATGTAAAACTCTGGTGATGATTCGTAATATGCAGAATATTTATGATTCATATTTTATTTTTTTCATTCTTGCTCAGTCTTCTTGGGTGGGTTCTTGATCCCATAGGTTATTTCCCATCAGGTATAAAAAAACAATTCATGGATTGAATAAAAAAAAAAGTAGAAACATGGCAAAACAACTTGGCATAAAGGTTGAACATCACATGAGGTAAGACATTTTTTCCTTTCATGACAATAAATCAATAATTTTTCTTTAAAGAAGAAATCTAATATGAGAAATTATATATACACCAGTTTGATGATAGCCTTGAGTACTGTACAGAAAGAGAGAGGGAAAAAGAGGGAGAAAGACCGTGCTCATGTCTACTTACAACGTGTGACCAAATATAGGTAGGTAATGTAATACACAACCAAGAAGTTAAAAATAATGCAAGATTTCTAGCTATGGCGAGTGCACACGACACACTTTGACTACGGCTTCTTTGTGAATTCTCCAATTTGTTGTGAGCAGCTATGAAGAATGTATATTTTCTGCAAGAATTGCCTTTCGAATGTTCAAGAAATCATTCAAGTGCATTATCATATTGTTTTGTTTTTGCTCACTTATAGTTTGCTATATTCATCGCCATTCTTCACTAAACATGACAATTATTCATTCACCCATATTCTTCATTACCCAGGAACGTTCAAGAGAAAAAGGTTTTGCAGAAATTGAACATTTCGATTAACATCTTTCATACCTCAACAGAATGATTCATGATAATATTTCATCATTAAGATATTTTATTTTTGCAACAATTTTATAATTTTATTTAGATAAATTTCTATGGTACAATAAACATTTTCCATTAATAGGATGTTAGAACTTATATTTATACGTCAACTAGTAACGGTAAAAAGATATCATATAATTCTGTTTCACACATTATTATGCTGAGTATTTCACCATTTTACAAAATCATATGCATCAAATGCACAGCAAGGAAAGTTGTATTATTTTGTGTGATATTAAATTTTTTTTGCATTTTTTAACCTGAAAAACAACTTTGCAATTTTGGCAAATATCTAATTTGTTTTATTAATGTGCACCTTGAGATTCATTCTCATTATAATTCTATGATTAGCATTTGCGTAGGAAACACGGAAAGAACCAGTTACCAACTCTTGTTTTTTACTTCAGAAAACTCTCCCAAATAACGGGAATTAATGGTGTACATAAAACTTGGACCAAGCCATTTTTTTCTTTAAACCTTGGTTAGTAACAAACAATCAAAGATATATTGAGAAGAAATAATGAAATAACAACTTTCCGATGTATTCCGTTTTTGTCAATCATCACTATGCAATCATTTTCTTTGCTCTGAATATCAACATCACTGTTTGTATAATGGTATATAGAGATCGATGAAATGTTACATGTCTAAGAAGTAGAATTGAACATTGTTCCATTTTTCCGCATTCTGTTTTTCGTCTTCAGAATACCATCTTTACAAACAATGATTTCTTCCCGAATTCATTAATAATGAATAAAAAAAAGGAAAAAAGAATGAAAACTAACATCATCACACTGTAGGGGTTAGCTATTAATGTGTATTTCATTATATCTTACTTTTTACAACCAGCCTCGCTGAGGTTTCCACTGTACCAACAGAAGTCGTAGCGCGACATGTGAAGGTGCCAGAATCTTCCTCATAAGTTGTAGCTATCAGTAGGACTGCATTATTACCTTCGTGAATCATCTGAAAATGAATAGAAAACTCTGGAATTCAAACTGCAGACGGATGATACTCGTTAACCATGAAACATATTCAAATTCAAATTTACCTGAAAATCTGGTGACTGTGGAATTAATAATCCTTCACGATACCATTGAATTGTTGGCTTCAATTTTGGATGGCTAATCTGTGTTTTGAATTGAGCTGGTTGTCCTTCCGAAACAATTTGATCTTTCAGGGGCGTTAATTTCGGAAGTATATCAGGACTTTCCGGTGCTAAACGATGATTAAATGAGAAAAAAGACAATTCATTTCAATTCAAATATGCAACATTCAATTATTCAAAACTAGAATATATTAGATCCTCACGTAAGACACGAAGATTAGCTGATGTACTGGTATCTCCGGCCGAATTTTTTGCAACACATTTATAGACACCTTCGTCCTCCGGGAAAGCTTCTGAAATCCTCAGTGTGCATTGATCGCCTTCTTTTTGCATTTGGAAATATTTAGAAGGTTTGATAATCTACATCAAAGAATACAAATATAATATATCATTGATATCAATTAAAGCTAGTAATGAAATATTTATCTTGCACTGAATGCGTACCTTATCTCCTTTTTTCCACTGCACGGTGGGGCTTGGTTTTCCACTAATTTTACAGGTGAAAGCAACAGATGCCCCTTCTTTGGTAACTTCATCTTGTAGGGGCTCAATAACAACAGGAGTTTTTTCCATCTGAGTGGACGTCAATTTTGAAGGCTTACTAAATGAAGGTTTAAGTCCCCGCACTGTGCATTCAGCCTCACATCGAGCTTCACCAGCACGATTTATGGCTACACACTCATACTGTCCGTTATCTTCAGCTACCGTTTCTAGTATGAGAAGTGTATAAGTATTGTCTTCTTCCAACGTTTTGTATCGAATATCAGCGACAACTTTTTTTCCATTCTTCAACCAATAAACATCCATAGGTTTGGTTCCGGTAATTTTAGCGTCGAATCTAGCAAGTTGTCCAATTGTGACAGAAGTACTTTGAATTGTAGTAACAAAACTAGGTGGAATAGGGCCTCCTCTGCCAGGTTGTCGTCTTCGTTCTTCAACAATAAGGTTAGCGCTGCACTTAGCTTTACCGCCACGATTTTCAGCGATAGCAGAAAATACACCCGAGTCTTCCATAAAAACTTGACGGATTATCAATACTGATTTAGTGCTGAATGTGTAAATCTGGAGATCTGATGAATTTTTAATTGGAAAGTCTTCTCGATACCATTGAATCTTCGGTAATGGATCTCCATCAAATTCTACCTCGAAGCGCGCTTGCTCTTGCTCAAATGCACGGCATGGTTGGATTTTCTTTGTAAATACTGGAGGATTCGATGGTAGAACAGGCCCCTCAACAATTCGTTCTTGCGTTGTGGCTTTATGTTCAACTTCAGTTGTTTCAGTAGCCGTGATTTTACGTGTTATTTCAGTATCACCTTTCATTTCCTTCTGCGTTTGTTTTTGTTTGGCAATATGCACTTCACGGCCATGAACTGCTGATTCGGTGGGTCCTGGTGGATGTTTACCAGGCCCTTGAAGTCTTCGATTATCAATATCAATTTCCGTCACAAATGCTTTTTTCACATTTACTTTATTAGACACGGATATATCTTGATTTTCAGTTTTCCTATAAAGAAATTGATATATTACTTAATTATTTTATAATGCATCGTATAATGGTATTGAAAAGAAATCAACAATTACTCACAAGTTCTCTTGATACTGTTGGGCCATTCCTTTTGCTATGGAACTGTTGATAACCTTCTCTCCAGGAATTGCAAATTGATGGCTCGCTTCTCTCAGTCGAGCCTCTTTCAAAAGTTGTTCCTCTTCAAGGTTCATCAATTTATTATAATAATCTTCTTTTTTCATAGTTTTAACATTTTTCTGCCAATCAGTGTCTGGTTGTTTAAACACTTTCTGACTGAGATGATCCGTATTTATGCCTACATTTTGAGCCATGCTTTGGTGTCGTTCATCAAAAATTCTCTCTAGTTCGGTATTGGTCCGGTCTGATTGATATTGAGTGTGCTCAATATCGTACCATGCTAATTACGAATAATATTAATATTCTATATCGTTGATAATTATCTAGACTAAATTCATAAACAGCATGCGCGTTAATATTCTCAATGATTGATAGGTGCCGAGAGTAATTGCTAGTTTTGGCAAATGCACATTCCACACTGGTCAGAATACTTCAATTTTCCATACTCTCACTATCATCGATATTATCTCCTATTTGGGGCAAAAATACGACACAATACCTCATTCGTGATGTAGAATCTTTCAAATGATTTTTTTACTCCTTAATAATTTGATTCAAATGGATTGGATTCATTCTTGGGATTTGGTGGTTACATAAGCTTGACAAGTTATAAAGACTTTTTTTCTCCATGATAGACAAGCAAAATATTGCCGTGATGATTGCATAATACATACAGTGAATACAAGATCGAACATTGATGTAAGCAAAATAAGATATTAATAATAATTGTTTAAAATTAAAATATTATGAGTTTTTACAATGCATGCATTTAAAGGGTAGTGGTTATTATAATCCATACCTGACAGAAGTGCTTTCTTAGTAGTTATACGTCGCATTTAACAATAATGTAGTTGTTTTTTATTTCATTATCCAGAATTTTGATGATCAGTACAGAAGCATCATTGGAGAAATAGCAGCAGGTTCAACTACACAGGTGCTCAATTATAGGGGAAGAGGGAATGAGGGATATTGAGAAGTAACAGTAGGTGTCTCTAATTTATCTTGTTTCCGAATGTGATTAATGTGTCGTATTGATGATGTCTGTATATATCCACAGATATATTCAAAATTATTATTATGATCAATTTTTTCATGAAAATATTCATTTTTCGATTAGTTGGGTTTCCTGTAATGTTTTTCGCAAAGAGGATTGAAAAATGGACCTAAGTGAAACCCATTGCAACTAAATTTCTTCAATTATCAATCTTGTTTTTCTCTTTTTTTTCCATAGTTCTATTAGAATGATAAATAAAAACACGAGAAATAATAAAATAGTTTCAAAAATTGAAAGAAAAAAAAAAAAGCATCAATATTTGCGTGTTGCTGTGTATAAATTGAATAATGAGAGTTGTATTGTACTTACGTCTTGGTGAATTTTTGAGAACCCCCCGATAATCATCACTGCGTGGTTTAACAGTCAACGTCGTTTCACATCGAGTCTCACCAAGTGAATTTCTTGCTACTACTTCGATTTTCCCATGATCATATTGACGTGTTTTTGGAATATCAAGATGGTACATGCCATCATAAATAAGTTTATACCGTGATCCCTGCAATATTATGAATAACATTGATGTAATGATGAAACTCAGGCATAAACAATGAAATAAGCAAATATACAAAAAATATATAAAAACATAAAGTTGACTCACATTGATAACAGTGTGACCATTAATTAACCACATGACTCTTGGTTTAGGATGCCCAGTAACACGACAGCAGAATCTTGAACAATCGCTCTCCTCTACTTGTACCGGTTCAGGTTTACTCACAAATACAGGGGCAGCTCTAGTCTTTTCTTCCTCGATTTCTTGTTCAGGAGCTACCTGCCAGGCAGATTCCATTTCCCGAATTTTTTCAATACTCTTCATTCCCTTTGGCAATTGAGAATCATAAATAATTCCTGGCTTTCCAGAAGTTTTAATGATAGCTTTTGTCTCATCCATTCCATATAAATTTGTTGCTCTACATAAATAGTCACCGCTATCCTCTGGATAAACCCATGCAAAGTTCATAGCGACATAGCCGAAATCATAGATTGGTGAAAAACGATTTTTGTGGGGCAATGGTTTACCGTTGAAAAACCATTCCACTTTCATATTTGGATCACCCACTGGAGCTAATTGACATTCAAACTTGGTACTATTCATTTCTACCAGTTCAGTTTGATTTTCAATTTGAGTTACAAATCGTGGAGGCTGTTTTTTCTCCGAATCATAGAGATCATCCTCAGTTAAATGAACTTCAGATGTATATTTCTTGATAGTGGCCTCCATTTGCATAAGGGCTTCCGATTTTTTCATACCTTTTGGTACTTGATTCTGTAGAATAATATTCGGTAAAGTTTTACATGATACAGATGCCTTAGTGATATCTTCTCCCCAATCATTGATAGCTTTACAAACATATTCGCCAGAATCTTCTGGATAAACGTAGAGAATATCCATTGATACAAAGCCCATATCATAGATAGCTTTGTAACGATGGCCAGCAGGTATTTGTTTGCCATTTCTGTACCATTCAATACGTAAAGTTGGATCTTCCTTGGGTTCTACTCGACATTCAAAACGTACAGGCTCAGATTCTTCAACTGTAACTGACTGAATGTGAGTGATGAATTTCGGTGGTACCCGAGGTAACTCCTCGACTGGTAATGGCTCGCTCACTGGTCCACGCTCCAATTCTTTGAGTTTTTCACTACTCATTCCGGAGGGTAATTGTGAATCAAAATCAATGGTTTTTTTAGATTTGCAAATTATAGTAGCTTTGGTTTTAACTGATCCCCATTTGTTCGTTGCACGACATACGTACTCTCCACTATCTCTAGCATAAGTATAAGATAAATCTAAAGAGATGAATCCAAAATCATTGATTTGATGAACACGAGAGCCTGTAGCAAATGGTCTACCATTGTGAAACCAATCAATTCGCATTGTTGGATCACCTACTGGCTCAACTCGGCAGTCAAAGTGACTGGGCGCGGACTCTTCTACTTCTATGTCTTTCAATTCAATTATGAATTTCGGAGGATTAGGAGTGTCTTCTTCAGCTGTCAACTCATCCTTTTTATAAAGAGCTTCCTCTAATTTTTGAATACTTTCAGTTCCAGTTTTGAAATTTGGTGGTAATTGAGGCTCCAGTATTATACCTTGGCGTCCGCGTACTTGAAGTTTACAAGATATCGTAGATTCACCATGGCGATTTGTAGCCTTACAAGTATATAAGCCTGAATCACGCTGATAACAATTGGACACTTCAAGAATAACAAAACCAAAATCATGAATTGTTTTGATTCTAGTCCCTGCATTGAGTGGCTTTCCATTGTGAAACCATTCAACTCTCATGCTTGAATCATTGACAGGCAATAATTTACATTCAAAATGAGCCAGTGAATTTTCACTCAATGTTAAATCAGACGGGCTAGTAATAAATTCAGGCGGTCTACCGGTATCATCATCCGATACTGTTTGATTCAATTCACTACCAAGACCTTCCAATTCAGCTATTTTATCAATAGTCCCCTCCATTCCTTTTGGTAGTTGTGATTCAAGAATAATACTTCGTTTACCGGTACATTTCATTGAACAAGTTGTAACTGCCTCACCAAATTCATTGATAGCACGACAACTATATTCACCTGAATCTTCGGGATAGATTGGCGATATTTCTAAAATGACAAAGCCAAAATCACAAAATGTCCGGAAACGTGAACCTGTCCGAAGAGGTTTACCATTCCAAAACCATTCGACTTTTAGTTTTGGATCATCAGTTGGAATCAAGCGTGCTTCAAAGTGGGAACTTTCTCCCTCTCGTAGTTCATCTATATTACTCAAAGGAACAACAAATACTGGTGCTTTTCCACGTTCCTCACTTACTTTTTCATCCTTCATCTTTATCAAGGAGTCCTCAAGATTTTGAATTTTTTCCAATCCTTTTTCCATACCTCTTGGCAATTGTGAATCAAGAATCAAATTCGTTTTAGATTGACAAGCTAATGTTGCTTTTGTAACATCCTCGCCGTATTTATTGATTGCTCGACATTCATAAATACCTGAATTTTCTTCGTAACAATAGAGAATATCAAGAATAACAATCCCAAAATCATGGAAAGTTCTATAACGATGTCCATGTGGTAATTTTTTGCCATTGTAATACCAGTCAACTCTGAGCTCTGGATCAGTGACTGGTGTTAAACGTGCTTCGAAGTGAGCAGATTGTCCTTCAATTAGCTTTGTAATATCTTTTATATGAGTGATGAATTTCGGAGGTTCTGTACTCGGTATAGTGGAAATATGAGACTGTTCACCGCTGTATGCTTCGAGCTCACGAATTTTTGCTAATGAGTCTGGTTGTAGAGAGTCTAAATAAACACCGCTCTTTCCAAAACATTTGATGGTAGCTTTTGTAAAGTCTTCGCCAAATTTGTTACTAGCTTTACAAACGTATTCACCGCTATCGTGCGACATAACACCAGCAATATCCATCACGACAAAACCAAAATCAGAAACCATCTTGAAACGCGAAGAGTGACGTAAAGGTTTACTATTGTGAAACCATTCAACTTTCATATTAGGATCACCAACTGGTATCAATGTACACTCGAAATGTACCGATTGACCGTCTTTCAGTCCCTCAAGGCTTTGTATGTGGGTTGTAAATTTCGGCTTTTGACCCTTAAACTTATCAACACACTCTAATTTGACGGAAATTTCAGCAGTACCCCATTTATTTGTAGCACGACACGAGTAAATTCCTGAATCATCAATTTTAGTTCCAAGAACTTCTAGTACAACCATACCAAAGGCATATACTGTTCTCGTTCTATGACTAGCTTCAAGTGTTTTACCATTATAAAACCATTCAACCTTCATTGTTTGATCACCGGTGGGTGTTAAAGATGCTTCGAAATGGGCAATTTCTCCTTCTGATAAATTCATAAGATTTTCAAATTGCGATGTAAAAACTGGTGGATGAGCTTCATCGACTTCTGCTGGCTTTTTTTCTTGCCTCTTGAGAGATTCTTCAAGATCCTGAATAGCTTCAAGCCCCTCTTTACCTTTCGGATGTTGTGATTTTTCAATAATATTTTCATTACTGGAACAAAATACTGTTGTCGAGGTAAAAGCCTCTCCAGATTTATTGTAAGCTTTGCACGTATAAATTCCCGTATCTCGCTCATAAACATCACAAACATCTAATGTGACAAAACCAAAGTCACTAGTCATTTTATATCGTGTACCATGAGCTAATGCTTTACCATTGAAATACCATTCAATTTTGAGATTCGGATCATCTTTTGGTTCTACTTGGCCTTCCAAATGTAGAGCATCGGTTTCGCTGAGTTTGAATTCGGATTGCAGTGGTACTGTCCAAATAGGCTGTCCAAATTCATGATCAGGAGCATCATCAGGTCGTTTGGATTTCATTCGCATTGCTTCATCAGCTTCCTGGATTTTTTCTAAACCAGCTTCACCCTGAGGATGCTGAGTCTGTAGATAAATATTCTGTTTACTTGTGCATTTCAATGTTCCTGTAGTTAATGCAGAACCCTTGGAATTGGTAGCTTTTACTGTAATTACACCAGAATCCTCTTCATATGTATGATTGATATCTAATGCAACATAACCAAAATCATATGTTGATTTAAATCTGGCACCAGTTGGAATAGGTTTACCATTGATAAACCATTCAATTTTCATTGTTGGATCTTTCGACGGCTCAACGTTACATTCAAAGTGAATATTATCGCCCTCTGTACATTCAACATTATTCAAATGAGTAATAAATACAGGCTCTTCATAAGTTGGCTCAGATTGTTCAATTAGTCCCACTATAGGTTCTTCTAATTTACTAATTTTTGGCAGAGCATCTGGATGTAGAGTATCACCTAAAAGCCAATGGCGATCATCAATTTTTAATCTGCACGTTGATACTGCCTCACCAAGTAAATTCGTAGCTCTGCATGTATAAATTGCTGAATCATCGGCTCTCAATCCATTAATAGAAAGAGTCACCAAGCCAAAATCGAATGTACTACGCAGTCTAGTCCCAGTTTGAAGAGAAACACCATTCTTGAACCATTCAGTACGTAAATGAGGATCAGCACGTGGTTCAATTTGTGCTTCTAAATATATATGCTGGCCTTCCTGCAATTTATCATAACTCTTTAGGTGAGTTGTAAAAACTGGTGCCTGTTGTGGAGTTGTATCAATAAACATTTCAGGAACTTTATTCATTTCTGCTTCTTTGAGTTGAATCTTCTGCCAGGCATCGGGTTGAATGGAGTCTTTATCAATGGCAGATTTAGCTTTAACCTTTAAAGATATTGATGACACCGCATCACCGGAATTGTTTATTGCTTTGCACGAATATACACCTGAATCTTCAGCTATTACATTTGAAATGTCCAATGTAACAAATCCAAAGTCGTGATTCATATGAAAACGAGAACCCATCTTGAGTTCTACACCATTTATATACCATTCGAATCGAAGATTAGGATCTCCAACAGGTACAACACGGCATTCATAATGTGCAATTTGTCCTTCCCATAATTCATTAGGACCAATTAACAATTGTGTAAAAATTGGCTTATCGAATTTCTTGTCAGGTTCATCAGGCCGCATGGGCTTGGCAGCTTCTAGTTGTGCAATTTTTTGTTGTGCTTCAGGATGTTGTGTATCAAGTAAAATACTAGCTTTACCTTGAATTGTCATTGAAGCTGTTGTAACTGCTTCACCAAGTGGATTAGATGCACGACACATGTAAATTCCTTGGTCTTCTTCTCGTACATGTCCAATATCCAACGAAACGAATCCAAAATCATGAACTCTTGTTATTCGAGAACTATCCTGCAGAGGTTTTTCATTTCTAAACCATTCAACTTTGAGAGATGAATCCCCAACTGGTATCAAACGGCATTCAAAATGAGCTGTATGATCTTCTATAATTCTATCAATATTTTGCAACGGCTGAGTAAATACAGGTCGTTGTTTAGTAACAGCTTCCGTTATTTCTGGTCTTTTCCAAGGTTCATGTGATTCCAATTCACGAATCTTTTCAAGACCCTCAGGTCTCTGAGAATCTTGAATAATACCATCTCGCGGAATGACAACGAGGCTAATTGATGATTCACACTGTCCTAAAGCATTGATTGCACGAACTGAATATTCACCAGCATCTTCTGGTACAGCATGAGTTATGTCTAGTGCGGCATAACCAAAGTCAAATGTTATATGTAACCGAGACGCCGAAGGGAGAGGTTTTCCATTGTGGTAAAATTCAATACGTAAATTAGCATCATGTAATGGTTCAATTTGACACTCGAAATGTGCTGTTTGACCCTCATATATTTGGCTAGTTCCACGCAATTCTGTTATAAATCGTGGTGGTGATAATAGTGGCTCTTCTATTTCCAATCGAGCTGGATGTCCTTGAGCTTCAAGTTCACGAATCTTTTCCAATCCATCTGGATGTTGAGTATCTAAAAGTATATTCCGACGGGAACCTACTTTTATCGTACATGTATTAACAGCTTCACCAGCAAGATTTGTTGCTTTACACATATATGTACCGGAATCTTCTGAGTATGCATAGAGAATATCCAAAGCAACGTAGCCAAAATCATGAGTTTTACGAAAACGATGTCCAGTTTTCACCGCAATACCATTGACAAACCATTCAATTCGAAGATTAGCATCATTCAATGGTTCGACCCGACATTCCAGATGAGCGTGTTCACCTTCTTTTAAATGATCTAAATTGTTCAAAGCTGTCAAGAACACTGGTTTCTGGTGGACTATTTCTTTTTCAACGATTTCCTTCACTTCAACTGATTCGAGTTGACGAATCTTTTCCAGTCTTTGAGAATCCAAAGTATCTAAATATAAAGATTGTTTAGAATCAATACCAATGACACAAGTTGTAACAGCTTCTCCTGCAGCATTTCTTGCTTTACACATATAAGTACCAGAATCTTCTGGATATGCATATAATATATCCAACGCCACATATCCAAAATCATAAGTAGTTTTAAATTTATGACCTTGCGGTATTGGTTTTCCATCTCGATACCATTCTACAACCATAGTTGGATCATTAACAGGAGTTAGAGTAGCCTCTAAATGAGCACTCTTGCCTTCAGCCAAATGTTCAATATTTTTCAGAGGTCGGCCGAATTTCGGCTTTTCAGCAATTACAGTCTCCTCACGATCAACGCGTTTGTATCGTGAGTCATCTTCAAGATATTGGATTTTCTTTAAAGCATTTTCATGTTGAGTTTCATGGCTAATTGATGCTCGAGATTTAACGGAGAGTTGGATAGAACTTTGTTCGGATCCGAGTTTATTTGTAGCTTGGCAAATGTATGTGCCAGAATCTTCAGGATAAACAGTCAATACATCCAGCGATGCAAACCCAAAATCACATGTTGTTCTATATCGGTGACCGGTTGATAATGGCTTACCATTGTGAAACCATTCCACTTTCATTGTATTATCGGGATAAGGTTCAATGCGACATTCATAGTGTGCGCTTTGTCCTTCTACTAAATTTGTTGGTCCATTCAATTTAACTGTAAAACGAGGCTTTTCATTAGTAGTTACTTCCTCTTCCTCACACCTTTGATATCTATTTGTATCCTCAAGATGTTGAATTTTGGATAATGCTGTTTCATGTTGTGACTCAAGTTGAAGGGCTGCTTTAGATTGTACAAATAATGTTGCAGATGTCACAGCTTCACCGAGATCATTAATAGCTCTGCATGTATAAGTTCCAGAATCTTCGGGATTAACATATTTCATATTTAATGCAACATATCCAAAATCATGCATCGTAGTAATGCGATTAGAGGCTTCAATGGGTACACCATTACGGAGCCATTCAACCTTCAGTCTAGAGTCACCTACAGGAATGACTCGTGCTTCAAAGTGTGCAGCTTGGTTCTCAGCTACCCGGAGATCTTTTATTGGCATTGTGAACACTGGTGCTTGGCTCACTTTTTCCTCCTGCACTTGCCTTCTTTGATATCTCGAACTATCTTCTAAATGTTGAAGACGTTGTAGCACTTGTTCGCGCTGAGACTCCATATAAATTGATTTCTTTGAATGAACAACTGCTGTTGCCGATGTCATAGCTTCCCCAATGGCATTCTTTGCCCGGCATGTATAGGTACCCGAATCTTCGGGGTAAGCATACATAATATCTAATGCAACAAATCCAAAACTATTGGTTTCAACAAATCGTGAGCCAGCTTTGACTGGTATATTATTGTGGAACCACTGAACTGTCATTGTTGCATCAGAAACAGGAATAAGTCGGCATTCGAAATGCGCACGTTGACCCTCTTTAATTTCTACATTCTTAAGAGATGTTGTGAAAATCGGCGCCTGAGTTGTAGTTTCTTCAATGTCTTCATGACGACGATATTTAGAACGATCCTCAAGATAATGAATTCGCTCTAATCCCATTTCATTTTGAGTATTAGTGAGAATTTGCGCTGTTGAACGACAAGTCAAGACACAAGTAACTTCATCACTGCCAACAAGATTTACCGCCCGGCATGTATAAGTTCCGGAATCCTCAGCAATCAAATCAATTACATCAAGTGCTACATAACCAAAGTCGTGAATGGGGCGGAATCGGTGTCCTGAAAATAACATGGTAATATTAATGGAAAAATTATGATATGAATACTGAAATATATATTTTTCAAGTTTTTTCATGTTTTTTTTTTTTCAATAGAAGAATTCAATTACCTATTGTGACTGGACGTCCATTCTTGAACCACTCTACCTTCAAATTGGAATCTGTTACTGGCTCGAGTTTGCATTCAAAGTGTGCATGCTGACCTTCTCGAAGATTCTCTTGATTCTTTGGTGTAGTAATGAATTTAGGTTTGACATTGACGCATTCATCAATAATATCGCGTTTCTTATACCTGGAGGAATCCTCCAAATATTGAATTCTCTCTAATCCCTCAGGATGTTGACTGTCCAATAATAATTTTTGTTTAGCATGAACCCGTACTGAGCATGAAGTTACAGCTTCACCAAGTTGATTCCGTGCTTGACATGTATAAACTCCTGAATCTTCAGGATAAACTCCAAGTATATCGAGAGCTACATAATCAAATTCATAGGACGGTCGGAAGCGATGACCAGTCGTTACAGCTTGACCATTGACAAACCAATCAACTCTCATTGAAGGATCGCCAATCGGTTGAAGGCGGCACTCAAGATGTACATTCGTCAATTCTACAGTTTCAATATTATGAAGCGGTCGCGTAAATTGCGGAGCTTGAACAACTGTGACATCCTCTTGAATATGTCTGCGGTATTTGGAACTATCTTCTAACATTTGTATTTGTTCGAGGGATTGTTCATTTTGTGTATCAGTTACAATGTCTGATTTAGCAATAACTCTAACACAAGCAGAAGTGTGAGCACTGCCAAGATGATTTGTCGCCCTAACAGTGTACTCACCAGAATCTAATGCAATTGCATGGACAATGTCGAGTGCTACAAAACCAAAGTCATAATAAGTTCGAAATCTGGAGCCAACTGTTACTGGACGTCCATTGTGAAACCATTCGACACGCATTGTAGGATCGCCCATGGGCTCCAAGCGACATTCGAGATGAATATTTTTTCCCTCACTCACTGGTTTTGGATCACTGAGTGGTTGAATGAATATAGGTTTTGATTTAGAAATTTCTTCGATGTTATATTGAGGTTCAACAAATTTCGACTCTTCTAGACGTTGAGTCTTTTCATAAATTCCACGATGAACGCTGCTGGTGTCAATATCATGGCGTGTTTCAACAGTCATTGTTCCTTGAAGACTAGCTTCACCAGATGCATTTCTGGCTATCACTGTATAAGTACCAGCATCTTCAGGGCGCACCTGAAGTATGTCAATAGCAACATAGCCAAAATCGTGATATGTTTGTATCCTATTAGCAGCACTAATGGATTTACCATTATGATACCATTCAATTTTCATCGTTAAATCGCTTTGGGGTTCTACTCGTGCTTCAAAATGGGCTCGTTGCCCCTCTACAATTTTATTTGTGCCTTTTAGAGATCCTAAGAACCGAGGTTTTTCAATTACTTGGATATCTTCTCGGACTTGACGTGAATAACGGCTAGAATCTTCGAGATTTTGAATTTTTTGTAAACCCTGCGGATGCTGGCTATCATAAATTATGTCATTCTTATTTATTACGCTCAGTTGAGCACTGGTACGGGCTTCCCCTACTTTGTTGTAAGCACGGCACGTATACATACCAACATCATGGATTGTAACGTGTTTTAAAGTGAGTGCAACATAACCAAAGTTGAAAAATGTCGTTATTCTCGAACCTTAAATACATAAAGATGAAATGTTGATTGAATTAACTATATTAGAAATTATGAAAATATTTGTTATCTAAAAATCAAACTCACTAGCTTCTACTGGGCAACCATCTTTGAGCCATTCAACTCTAAGATCGGGATCATTCACTGGCTCTAAACGAGCCTCAAAATGAGAAAATCCCCCTTCGCGAATATTAATTTGATCTTTAATCGGTGATTTAAATTCCGGTGGATTCGTTAGTTCTGGTTGCTCCATTACATATTTTTTATGCAAATTTTGTTGATAAGCTTCCAGCTCTTCCGTAGCTTCAATATATTTCTGTTGTTCAGGTATTCCAAGATCACTTGTTACACTGGTGCGAGCTAAAACCAATTGAACATATATATATATATATACAATTACACATTGATGACTTGACTGATTCACTCTCGATTATAAAATATTTAAAAGATTACCAAAGACATGAAGAGATCCATTACTTATTGCATCTCCTGAACGATTCACAGCTCGTACTGAATAAGAACCAGCATCTTCAACCCGTAGGTGCATGATGTTCAATGAGACGTAACCGAAGTTGAAGATTGTCGTGATTCTTGAACCTGAAAAAGAAAAGTTGAATATATTATCTGTATGAAAAAAATTTTCAAATATATTTCATAACAATGATATTGAATTGGTGTACTCACTAGCTGTAATTGGTTTTCCGTCTTTGTACCACTCAACTTTCATTGTAGGATCACTGACGGGAGTTAATTGAGCTTCAAAATGTGCATTTCTCCCTTCTTGTAATTCTCCAAGGTGTTGCAGTGGCCGAATAAATACGGGTCGTTGAGATGAAACTTCTTCTACACTTTCTTGTCTTTGATACTTGGAGGAATCCTCAAGCTGTTGAATGTAATGTAGACTGTCTGGATGTTGACTAGTTTGTTCGATTGTCTCACGCGCTGAAATACATACATTTATTATTATTTATTTATTCATTTTTTTTTCAACTCGTAAATGACATGGCTGAACAATCCTCCAGGGTTCCGACTTCACCTCGAAAACCGCCCATCAAGCTAAGCGATACAAACTTCTTTATTATTATTATTATTATTATTATTATTATTATTATTATTATTATTATTATTATCATCATCATAAGTACATTATTAAGAAATTGCTGGCGGGAGCCTTGAATTTCTTTTTACTCACCAGTAATACTGACATTAGCACGCGATTCGACAAAGCCAGAAGAACTTACGACGCGACAGACATATTCACCACTATCTTGAAGAAGTACGCTAATCAACTCCAATGAGATGAAGCCGAATCTAAAGAGGGCTGTAGCTCGAGAGCCTCATGAAAAGAAAGAAAAATGAATAGTCGTGCACGAAAAAAGTAACAATTAGTGAATATTCTAGTGATGATAAATGCATATATGTATGTATATACTCACTAGCTTCCAGAGATCTTCCATTGACGTACCATTCGACCCTCATTGTTGGGTCGCCCACCGGTTCGATTCTGGCCTCGAAGTGAATACGCCCACCTTCAATTTGATGTATATCCTTCAATGGAACAATAAAACATGGAGGTGGATAAATTTTATCTTGTTCAGCAGGAGGCAGATGGGGTTTGGCACGTTCTACGTGTCTCAGGTAAATCACTTCCGGGCCAGGTGCAGGTTCTGGTTCGATAACTTTAGTCGGTCGAGGTAAATTCAAGCGTCTTGGTTCCGGGGTTGTGCTTTCTTTGAATGTCTCAACGAACAGTCTTGCGCGAGTCGCTGTTGAACCAGCAATATTTTGGGCTGTACACTGATACCAAGCAGCATCAGATAATTTAGCATATGGTATATCAAGAGTTGAAGCTCCATTACCATCGATTGTTATAGAAACATCAGATCCAGCTACTATTGGTACACCATCTTTTTGCCAAATTATACGAGGTATTGGAGTACCAACAGCTCTTGCACTAAAAATCACTGGTTCCCCCTCCTTAACATTAGTCGTTGTAAATCGCTCCACGAATTTAGGTGCAACTACTTGCTCCTTTTCAATCACATGAAGATTACACTTGAACGTAGTTTCACCGGCTTTGTTTTTGGCAACACACGTTATAATTCCGGCATCTGATCGTGTGACATTAGTTATCATTAGTGAATTACTACCACTCTCATTTACCAAAATTTTATGAGTCGTATCATTTACCGCCGGCTGTCCATTGATATACCATGTTACTTCTGGATAGGGCTTACCAGTAACACGACAGTCAAACCTTGTCATTTTACCCTCTGTTACATCACGATCTACACAAGTTCTTACAAAGTTGGGTGCCAAAGCTTTGTCACTATCAGGGCCACCACTTGCACCGATATTCACAAGAGTTTCAATTGTTTTTAACGATTCCTTCTGAACATAATCAGTTTGATCTGTTGGTTCAATCGCAAGATAAGCTGAACTAGCTGTACATCCTTGAGGGTTTTCAGCGAGTAGAGTATAATGACCACTATCTCCTTGGGTAACATTCTTAATTCGCAAAGTAGCCTGCTGATTGGAGTAACAAGTTTCAATACGTTGAGAGTTCCTAACTCTTTGACCATCTTTGAACCACGTTGGTCTAACTTTGGGATTCCCCGATAATTTTGTGGTAAAGACTGCATCAGAACCTTCAAACAATTTTGAACTTCGTAATTTTTGTCCAAATTCTGGAGGTGCAATAGGACCTAAATTTCTCTCCACATTAGTCGATATCAAGGCGTCCGTCTCCCCAATATAACGACGAGTATTGGATTCACGAAAGTCTTTTTCCCGAAGTAGTCGATACTCAAATGTGTCCACTTTGAAATCTTCAATAGTGGTGGTAGTAGTAGAAGTTGTAGTGGAGCCGTTAATGAATCGTTTATCAGTAGTTTGAGAATAACGCTGCTGATAGTCTTTCTGTGATTGCTTCGGCATTTGCCCAAATCCCTCTGGTTGAATGCAAACTGCACAAATAGCTTCCCCTAAAATATACATCAATACGTGTGTTAGTTATTTATTATTATCAGTATTATATATCATTAGTATTAATATTTTCAATATCTCAAGCTGTAGTAAAAATGAAATTATCATTCATTTTAATACCTAGAGGGTTTCGAGCATTGCAAGTATATTCTCCTTCATCACCAGGTCCAATTTGATTGATTTGTAGGATGACATCACCACTTGTCTCATTATATGACATTTGAACTTTCTGAGATTGGTGAAGTGGTTTATTCTCATGAGTCCAAGTAACAGTTGGTTTAGGATTACCACGAATTCGCCCCTCAAAAATGGCATTTCCTCCTTGAGCAAATCGTGCATCTTTGAATATTTTCTCGAACACCGGCGCTGATTCTCCAGGCCCACCAACAATACTACATTATTCGCAATCATTTGTCATGTATTAATAATGTACAGAGAAAATTATAATGATATTTATGGATAACTTTTAAATGAAAAATATTTACCGAGGAGCTGATGTTGTTGTCATAATCACTTCACCTTGTACTGCAAAAGAAAACTTCCAGTTACAATCGACATTCCATGGAGAATGCGAGTGGTATAATGATTTACCTCTCGATAAGGACTATTCAGTACCAAATTCCGTATAGAGAATTAACAGTACGAAAACTACCCTCACGGAAAAAAATATATGCAAATAATTATACGTGACATATATGTGACATATTGCATTTTTCGCCAAAATATATGTGCATATAATTGACATATATTTCACATATATTCCGTTTTCTGTACGGGTACAATTGCATGTCTATAGTTTTCTTGGAAAAAAAAATTCCCTCCAATTAATTTTTTAATTTGATGGTCATACAATATATAGGGAATGCATAACTAGTAATAAATAATAATAATAAAAAAAAGAAAGTATACATATATAAAATGACATCGCATCGCAACTGGATGTTAGAGGGATACAGTAACTGGCTGACTGGTAGACTATTTTTATGCGACGAGATCACGTTACCGGGAACCATTTTAGGAGCAACTATCTTTACACGAACGGTTCATTTGTGATACATATATAATGAAACGTGTCTTCCGTTTGAGACTTATTGTCTTAATAATCATTTTTATTTGAGTCTTACTGGATACATATCATCCATTTGAATTATTCTCAAACAGCATGCATGAATTGTATAAAAATTCATTATACTTAGCACTGAAATATAGTCTAATTTTTTAGAGAAATGTAAATTTGCCAATAAAAATCAGACTTTTAACAAAAATTTTATTCAATATATATCATGCTATTAAAGAATAATTCCCAAATTGCTATCAGCCATCAAACTGAAAAAACGTATTTTTCATAAAATGGAAAAAATTCCAAAATGTTCCACCGAGGCTCTATTTTTGGGAGAAGACTGCGTAGAATGCATTTCATGCTCTTGTTCAAAAATAGAGTCCCTTGCAACGATAAAAAAAAAAACAACAAAAAACTCATACAATATTGACGAGTTGTAGTAAAAAAATATTATCTTCAAAAGTTATATTAAAAATATTAATTTACTACTGGTAACGCACAGGCCACCACAAAATTGCTCATCAACATATTTGTCAAAGAATGCACTTGAAAGAAAAATATTACTGTAGCGACGCTCAATTTTAATTGGGAATCAATTAGTTTCGAACAACTACTTCATAAAAACTGAACCGACCTCTCTGCTGACTGACGATTTCCTGTCTCGTAATTTGTCTTTCTGTATGGTGATGGGTATACTGCTCTTGAATCAGCCTCTGTTCTTGCTGTTGCTGCTGGTTTTGCGATGTTTGCCGCTTCATTTTGAAAGTGATTATTGCTAATTATGAATTATAAACCTGTCTGCCAGATGCAAAGTCACTGGATCATAAAGACTAATCCCTTCTTTTCAATGGACACGCACAATGAACACAGATGATAACACTGAGAAAACATCAACTTTTATTTCGTTCGTTGGGCGAGATGATACTTCTCTTCTGGACTCTTTATAAAATTCTCGTTTTTTTTTCAAGTATTATTGTAAATAAATATTGAAACACGAAAACTAGTTAGGTTTATCTATAGTTACGGTGTCAATTGTTTTTAAATTAAACTGTATTTGCTATTATCAAGAGTCAGGTCATAATCGAGAAGAAATGGAAAATTTCCCCGTGTTACCCTTTTAAACCAAGACGTCGATCGAATGCGAATCGCGATGATGCCGGTAACTCGATGAGCTATCCTGGCCTTGTTGGCGGCTATGCGCTCGCGCGTTAGATTATAACTCGGTTACAGAGAGGGAGTGAAAGAGTCAACAAGAGGGGATATATTCTTCTTTTCCAGTGCTATTATGGCTAATAATGGAAAACCAAAAAATCACTTAATAATGAATTTTAAGATGTTCGGTTTTGAAATAAATATTACTGCATTTATAATAAAATTATATATAATTATCTATGGATCAAAATAAAGGCGACAAACATAAAGACATAACGTGCATATCGGTATGAATGCGTAACGTGAACAATTTACACATGAATTAATAACATTAAGATGTACTCATTCATTTCTTTCATTGTATTTACATTCATGAGTACGATTATGGCTTTTCACCTACTGCTTTTCTTTCACTTTGGAATTCTTGAAGATCCTCACATTACCCTGTATTTGTTTGCACAGTATTGTCAAAGTAGCATAAATTACTCAAATAATTATTGTGACTATATGTCATTTTTGTAATACTATATCCTTGAATAATTATATTATTTTATTTCATATATATTCTTTACGAATTGTGTGAAAAAAAATCCTACATTGCTTTCCCATTTTTCTTGTGCACGCGATATGTAGTGTTTCATGTTTCAGTATTACATTCTCGTATTACATTCTCACATATTCAATTATGTTTCAACGACCAGGTGCACATGAAAGGAGAACATATAATGGATGCGTAGTTTCCACGCACGACGAAACTGAAATCCACTCTAGCTACCTCTTAATAGGAAATATGTAAATAAACATTGATAAGAGTAGAAAAAACTCTTATAATAAAAAATGTTCCATTTAAACGGTATTTTATACGTTTACAGAATAATTAATGACTTTTCTTGTGGTGATTCAATAATCAAGAAATGCGAGAATTTAGTGTAGTTGTCCATACCAAAACCAAGAGCTGTTATGTTTCCTTTTATTTTTGGAACATGGACTCATATTATCCTATACACATTCCAAGATTACTTTACAGTCTATTTTTGATACTTACCACAAGGATTACAGAAATGAATCAGTATTAAACTTCCATGCATTTCGAAGAGAATTTTATGAATTATTTGTAGAAAATTGAAGTATTCATTCGATATTGTTTAATAAGAGAAAGATAGCTTGATAGCCTAGGATATTGATGATAGTTGTCGTGAAGCAGCTGAGTCGTTGTAAACAATGTTGAAATATTCTGAAGGAAACCCAAGCGAGTTGTATTGAAAAAAACCCATTGTCTTGTATAATAGGAGTGTTATTATCGAATAACATTCAAGTTAATTCCGCTGCATTATATGACACCAAATTTGTTATATCATCAACTTCAAAATCGCATCATATCATCATCATTATTATATGATGATTACCAGTCAATTTATGGGCGACCAACGGAGTGTTAATACTTTTTTAAATTCCCCTGTCTCTGCAGCGACTTCTGCTTTGAATACATCCATGGAAATGTGAAAAGGGGACGGTTGTCGTCGTCATCATCATCATCATCATCATCATTTCCATTTTTACTCATAGATCATCAACTTCGTTGAAAATCCAATTGCATGGTGGAACTGTTAAAATAAAATGAAAAGAGAAAATGAATTTCTTCAATGCTTTTTTCATTCAATTATCGATGTCCAAAAATGATCAAATCTCACTCAGACTGACGTCAAGTACTCTCTGAACTTCTTACACGCGTCCGGGGGTTCGTGCTTGGACAGATGCTTGACATTGCAGCCATCGAGGGCCAGACGTCCAGCAGCCTTGAGAACTCTCCGTACTCAGCTCGATCGATTAATTGATTATCAACCCTACTCAGAAATATCTGACTGGACAATTTAACCCAACGAATAGATCAAATTATGGTCAAATTAAATTAAATATTCAGAGCAATTTGTCCAATAAGAAGGAATAAATTTGTTAGGTTGGTTGGTGGAGAGGGTAATGTGGTGGAAGTTGACAAAACCCGATTCAGACCTGACAAAAATGCTGAAGACTCTGAAAACGGTTACTGGGTATTCAGAGGAATTGACCGAACAACAATAGAAATATTTGCGGAAGTTGTTGAAGATAGAACAACTGAAACATTAATGAACCTAATCAAGAAATATGTTAAGAAAGGTACGCACAATATCTACTGATGAATGAAGAGCTTATAAAAATGTACCATTAAAAATGCTCATTAACATGATACCCCCCAACGTTCTTGAGTCCCAATATGGTATAGTTGATGCAAATAAATGACGAGTTTCGTGAGATTTATTTCCCCAATGTATTTTATTACATTTATGTGATACAATGGTATAACGAATTATTCAAATGGAAAAGTTAAAAGAGACGCAAATAACGATGAATTCGGTGAATAAACTATATCATTAGCAATGAATATTAAAATTAATGACATAACGAATATTACATTTATGGTAGTGTGAAATCGATTGGATAGGATATAGCGAGTATAGGGTGATCAGAGACAAACTTGAACAAAAAAAATGATACCAAAATTTTTATTACGTCAAGTTTTAATCATCCGGAAATTTTGCAATATTTATTTTTATTATATTTCTTGATGTCATAAATTATTTTTCAAATCTAGGTGATATTCGAATAGTCAAACATACTTATGATCTTCATGTAAAATTATAGAATACAAAAAAGTTGTGAATTTTATCAAGTAGATATTTGGAACTTTTTCGGCGGTGATAACTACCTTGATCAATTGATCTCTGCTATCCATGACTTTATTATGATTATTTTTGAAACTATACAACCTGGGTGTTTTTTAAAATAATAACTGCGATGAGAGAACAGTAATTTTCAGAGAACAGCTTATCATGCTTTTTCGTTAATTTCTTCCCGTCATTAACCACATATTTATACACGAAAAATTGTGATGATAGGAGCAAAATTCCACGACACTTATATCCCGCCACCACTTAGATCATGGCCACCAATGACAAGTTTATTTAAATTTCATCCTCATTGCTTATTAGTTGAATGCTCGTATGGATTTTCTGTTACCTTTCACATGTAAAGTGGCAGAGGTAGTATTGGAGCCAAGATTATTTACAGCCGTACATATATATGTGCCAGTATCGTCTGTAGAGAATTTTAGATTCAAATGAAAATTTTATTTTCCAATCTATCAGCATGAGAATGAAAAAATTGCAAGAAATTACGTACCGGGATATGCAACAGGCAAGACTAGTCGACATACACCATTTCTATAATAGACCTCAAAATTACATAAATTCTGTATAACCTCGCCGTTTTTAGACCAAAAAACTTCGGGTTGTGGTTCCGCTTCAATGATACATTCAAACCTAGCGGTCTGGCCGGCTACCACAGCAATATCTTTAATCGGCTATAATAACAATGCAAGATAATACATCAATCAATAACTCTAACAAGTATTAATATGTTAAAATAATATAAATTTTCGATCAATTTGATGGAGTCATTATTACCGTGGTAAAAAAAGGGGCTTTCTTCGGTAATATATCTAGATATGGCTGAACAATGTCTTTCTCTTTAGAAAAGGTAGAATTGCCTGACCGTGGTAGATCTGAGAACAGAAATAATGAAATTGAAAAAAAAAAAGAAATACGAGTTTCAAAATCACACCGAAAGTACAAGATTAGCTTTAACAAAAAAAGACACGTAGTTGGCTATTCACTTAGCGAAAGTGCTGCAAATAATGAATTTTACAGTCTGCGTAATAATTTAAATATTACGTAATATTAAAAGTATAAAATCTGTACAGATATATCTACCCAATCAATAGATATTTCACATTCATTTAGTAAACATGAATATCATGAAAGATTGTCTCGTATCCTATGGTGTATGAAAGTAAGCCGTGTAGAAAAATCTTCCAAAGTAATTCTCTATAGATAATATGAAGACGATGTGAAGAAAAAGTAGAGCAGAAAGGCATAATATCTTCGAAATGGTTCTTACTATTGGCAGTTTCCCCGATATTGTACTCGAAAAGATGTTTGGATAGACTCTTTTCATCTTGATTTGCAGTAAATGTTTTCATGACTGGTAGACTCAGTGGATCACATATTTGTCGATTTGTCTGATACATTTGTTTTTTCATTGCACCTAAACTCCCCAGAGAATTATCAAAATTTATAATTGGATTTTTACTTGTGACTTGTTCATTGAATTTCGTGACTACTCTTTTATCAAACTCCTTATTCGAGAAAAAATCGACTCTTTTGTATCGTGGATCCTCCGTATTGCTTCCCCTAGGAGTCCACCTGGGCCGAATTCTTACTGAATCATTAAGACTTGCATAATCAGATTCTTTAAATTGACCCCATAAAAATGGACTTGGGGTTGAAATATTAGTGAACATTGGATTTTTTTCAAATTCCATTACATGATTTGTTTGTTCCACATCAACAGTTTTCTCACTGGATTGTGAGTGGTCCTGCACTTGAGTCATTTGTTTTACTTGTTTTTTTACAGTATTTGAATGTAATACTTGATCGAATTTTTCCAAAGATACTTGTCTCTGGGGAGCATAAGCAATTTCGGGCGGTGAACCAGGCAATAAAACAGATTTTCGTGCAACAATTGGTTGATGTACTATTGCATTTTCAGATGATGGAAATGCTTTCTCCAATTTTTCATACGTTTGTTTTTCCATTATCTCGGAAACAGATGATGAGAAAATCGATTCAGTGATTGATTCCTCAGTTCCTGAATATCAAAGTTTATATATTGGTGGAAAAAAGCAAATTAATTGCGTATTAAGAAAATTAAAATTTGCATAAAATCAGATGAAATTTATTCAAATTCATTAAAAAAAATGCATTTGACAAGAATTATGCATTATTACAAATTTTTATCTAATATGTACATAGATAGCTATTAGCGACAGTATCTAAGTTACCTAATAAAGCTAAGAAGCAAAGCTGTCCAATAGAAAGGATATGTCTCGTTGAAACGAAACTGAGTGGAGTATGGTAAAAACATTCAATATATTTCTGAAAAAATTGAATATTATGCAAATCAGAATAATATTCAAAAAACAACAATGTCATGCGCTGCGCTTTTTCGCATCTGAACTCCGACGTCAGCTAGTATTGCATATGGTTAATTATCACTAATTAGAAGCTCAATTTTTACCTGATACAAGTGGTTTCGAATATTTAGCAGAGTAATTGGTTCTCGTTTCATTACGCGACTCTTCTACTGATGATACTCTATTGACATAATCGTTTCCAGAGTCATTCCTCCAAGATTCGCTCCCGGCGAATTTAAATAGACCTTTCTGTTGCTGGAAAAATAAATATTTTGGAATACGAGTACAATTACATCCATAGCGGGGCAAATAGGATTCGTTATAGCAATCAATATTGATCAACATATAAAGGTGATGATCAAATTGGTAACATGCGGGATAAAGGCTCTACGGGTAGAGAAAAATAATTGGGTTTGGGAAAATCCATAAAATACCAGTATAAAAAATAATGGTCAGTCAGAAATAATGAAAACAAAGCTCTCGTTATGACGCACAAATTGTGAAATTATTTAAAAAGTATTTGCACAACGTATAATATATCGAACCTTATTGGGTGCTACGCATTCATCATAAGCTTGTGCTGACGAGCTTTTGTATGAGCTGTTGTCTAAATTCATTTTTGAATCAAATGTACTGGATGCCATGGAAACGCTTTCACATTTCTCGTAATTCTTAGAGATTGACGAGCTCTTAGTAGAATTATTAATGGGTTCATCAGTATCAGCCGTATATCCACTGACTTTCTGATAAACTCGAGTTTTTAATTTTGACAAATCATCAGGTTTAATATTTGAATGCACGTAGATTGGTGGGGATCCTGGTGTCAAAATGTCAATGTCTCCACTTTTTTGTTGACTAGAGATTGAAGTTTTCTCTATTGGGACCAGCATTGCCATTGACATAGGCCTAGGTGGACCCGTTAATTCAGGAGGGGGAATTTCAAAACTCGAAGGTGGAGGTGGCTCCGGTTCAGTAGATTTTTGTCGCGGTTGTTTTGGAATAGGTGCTTTAACTCTCCTATATTTTGGTTCTTCATTATCACTCGCACAAGATCTACATTTAGATTTATATGATCCGAAATCTGATTCATAATCACTTTCAGCAGAATAATTTATCCATTGAAATTGTGATGGAATTTCTACGGAATTCCTGGCAATTTTTTTCTCCGTGGTAACATTTTTTGTTTCATGAAAAGATGACAATGGTATATAACCGATTTCAGGTGGGGTACCTGGTTCAAGAATAATTTCACCATCATTAGAAACTACTGAATTATTTGTTTTATATAATGGTATACTGGAATTATGTTTTGGCGCTGTTGCTAATGTTCCTCTAAATATTGATGATGATGTTTGGAAATCTTTAATTTTTTCATTTCCTACATTACTATTCATACTCGGACAATGATAGAGCTGAATTGGAGTCAATTTTGGGGATACTGTTGCTGCTTTTACCAAATTCGGTGCTTCCAATTTCTCCAATGTAGACAGTGTTTTATGAGTTTTTTGATAATTCTTTTCTACTTGAGACTGCGAGGAATATTTTTTTGTGATCGATTGTTCTTCATTGGTATTTAAAGTATGATGATCAACTTTAACTGTCTCAGCTTTATACATCTTCAGTGGCATTTGAAAAGTACTGAGTGGATTGTTAGCTGATACGTGTGGAATAACTGTAGGTTTTTCAACAATAGTTTCCTCTATTCGATTTTCTTTGCTGTTCCAAGACCGCGTTTCCAAACTACTTGATGATTCAATCTTAGTTTTTGTTATCCCACAACCAGGTATTTCAGAAATCTCTTCTCTTTTCTCGTGAGATGTCACTTTACTCGTAACTGGTTCATTACTCTCTGTTCGCTCATTAAAACTCGACGTATTGGGATAACTATTTGACGGTGGCCACGATTTTCTACTAAAATCAGGCTTTTTCGTCCAAACTTTTTCCATTGCTAAGCCATCAACTGACGGCTTTGGGGATACTGAACGTTCTAATTGATTGAAAGATGCAGCAGATTGGCACCTATAATCAGATAAATCTGTAGAAATATGGGAACGAGTTTCTAAATCGGATGTTGAAGACCACCATTTTTCACCTATATTTTCGATTTCCTCATGTTTTCTCTGAATATCCTTGGCAGCACTTGTTAATGGAGCATCAATTGTTGAATCATTGAATGAAACTAATTGATTTTTCAAAATTTTCGTTTGTTCACCTGTCTGAACTTTTTTTAGTTGATGAGTTCCAGTTCCAGTTCCAGTTCCAGTTGGAAAAATTTTCACACCTCCAACTGGAGGACTCGATGTTGTTGTCTGAAATTGTTCAAGTTGTTTGGTTTTCGATAAAACATCTGTTGATTTTTCTATATTATCCTCGATTCTCCTCTTTGGCATATAATCAATTTCGGGGGTAGGGCCAGGCATCAGGCGGAATCCCGAGAGCATTTGCTCAGCACTTTCAGATTGAGCAGCTAGTTTGGAAATAGTTAATGTACCATGAATTGGTGAACCCGATGCCGTAGTATCTTCGAAAATAGTTCGCTGTGTATTTAGAAGTGGTAATTTATAATTATCATATGGAAAATCAATCATTATATTTTCAATACCTTTGTCTTTTATCACTGAACTCTGCAATTTATTCGACATATTTTGGACTAATTTTTTTGATTGTACGTCACTTTCATTATTTCCTCGAACTTCCTCGAATTTTGTTGATCTCTCATAATTCTTTGTTAATTTATCAACTTTGACATCGTAATTTCCATCTTTGGCCTCTTCATTTAAATCTATTATAGCTTTATTAATTTTAGGGATAGTCTCGCCTTCTTTGGCTATTGATTCAAAGAAATTCAATGCATCTTTTTTTGCTATCACTGAAGTTTCAACATTCTCATTCTCTTGAGATGAATCGGTATTTTTTTTCATTATATTTTCACCTAACTGTGTTGAAGGTGATTCATTAATATTATTAAGTATCAATTCTGGGGCTTCATGTTGAAGTTTCATATGAAATGTTTGTTCTGATTTTGTTTCGCTCTGATGAGATTCAATTGTTGATGAAATCATCTCAGATCGAGTCGCTTTTTCAACAATTTCCTCCGTTTTTTTTGTCACTCCAGATGTTGTCGGCGTGATGAGTTCAATTTTACGTAGTGATGGTGTCATAGATGTTGATGTTGATGATGATGATGAGGATGGTAAAAGAGTTTTCAGGATGGGGCTTGGTTGAATCATTGTCGTTGCTATATGTTCAGCGGTCAATGCAGCAGAAGGCAACTGATTTTTCTTTTCGTCCAACTATCAATCACCATTCCATTATTATCATTATATTTTACATAGTAAGGGAGAATTTTGTTCACCCTAACATAATTTACTCTTACCTTTAAATCTTTATCCGCCATATTTTCATACACAATTGTTTTATGGAACTCCACCATAGTATCTGGAGTTGGTTCAAAGACAGCAAAATCTGCTATACTCTGAGCTTCTCCGCCAGGATTCGCTGCATTCACCATATATTTGCCTGCATGCCTTTTTTCAGCATTATCGATGATTAAGAGATAACAATTACCAAGTTGTCTTAATTCACCATCCGTATCCATCAGTGGTTCATCATCTTTGTACCATGTGACATTCGGTTCTGGTGTCCCAGTTATCTCCACTTCCATAATTACACGTTCACCTGTCTTGGCTATTTGTGCTTGTAATCGTTTACCAAAAACTGGCGGAAAGATGGTTTCTGAAAATTATTCAGCATTAACCTGATATTCAAAACCATTGTTTATTTCAATGGAAATTTTTTATAGACAAATTTTTCATAAATTATTTCATCAAATTAATTACTTTTAACAACAAGATCAGCAGTGCTACTAGCATTTCCAACTTCATTTACAGCTGTGCAAGTATATCTCCCCGCATCCTTCACATTCACATTTCTCAATTCCAATCGGACATGATTATGTTGAAAAGTCGTCTTTACGTTATCCTCTACATCTTGGCCATTCTTACTCCACGTTATTTTCGGTTGAGGGAAGCCTTCAATAAATCATAGATGATAAAAACATTATATTTTTCTATACACACATATTTAATACATATTATTGAATACATACTATGAATGAGGTATTCAAAATTTCATCATAGGGAAAAAGTGGAAATGAGTAAATTCTGTAGCCAAATCTTATATAATACAATAATTAAAAATACCATTGCCTAATTTACCATCAATAACACCTTCTAAAATGACATTACTGCCTTGATCCACAATCATTCCAGTAATTGGTGATATAAATCTTGGAGATATACTCTTGCGGATCTGTTTTTGAATTTTCGGAGTGATTTCGCTCATTATTTTTATCTTCTCTTGTTGAATTTTGTCAGGTGTATCTCGCACTATCCGTTGAAACTCTTCAATTTTATGAGTCTAAATGAGACAATGATTAATATCAATACTTTGTACATCAAACATTCAATCCATAATATAACAACTTTATAACAACTATATAAAAATTATTACCTGAATAGTTGGCGGACCGCCGTTCGATTCATTACTGCACTTTTGGCCTTCAATGTGACTCTTAGTAATTCCATTCTTTAAATTTGATGGACACAATTCCAATGTACTGGATTTAGTCGATAATTTATACTCTTTAGTGCAACATGATTTGCTCATCGAAGACTGACTAATTGAAGAAGACATCTTGGTAGTCTCCCCCTGATCGATCTTGTGAGATCCCGCACTATCCGTTTCTGCTTGAAGGTATCTCTCACAACTGCTCAATGGCTGCATATCGATTCTATCGTCGGTCGCGATAACGTCCGTCTCTTCGATCCCCTCGTCTACCAACAATGATTAATTGAGTTATCAATAGATTTGTAGTAATAGCGTTCTGCAAATAAATTTATGCTCTCATTTAATTTTCCTTGACCTCCTCTTTCATCTGGGATGATTGAATAATATGAATATAAAACTATTTCGTTAGCTACTAAATTTACCATTCTTCAAATAGTTGCATTGTGCTTAAAAAAAACATCAATTATTCATAATTATGTCATTGATGTCATTGTAATTATTGTTCCATAATAAGATGTTGAATATATTCTATTGATAACGGCTCAATAACATGTTTAGTTTTCTTCATTATTATTTGTATTCTTAATATAAATGTATGCTTCAACATTTAGTTGAAGCATACATACTTCTCAAGTTTGAAAAATTGTTAATACATATAGGTAGGATTCGAAAAATAAGTTACTCATCATACTTATAATGGTTTTACTTGATTATTATTCATAAAGAGGAATAACATACCAATGACCGCCACCTGATTACAGAAACTCATATTTATTTTTATTATGACCAGAAATAGATACTATGTTCAGAATAGCTTTTATAGAAAACAGCCTCAGCATTAAGTCGGTTGAATTTTCCGAAGATCCAAACTAACTTCCGACTCCGATTTGTGGCAAAAGGTAAGCCTCTTACATTTTTAGCTTCCCGCGGGATAAGAGGATTAATTATCTTACCGCGATGACACTCCTTCTATACTCTCGATTTCAATTATTCTATCAGCATATTGTTATTATTATTATTCCTATTAATGTTGTTATTGTTGTTATTGAATTAATAGGATAAATATTATTTCCACATATCTAATCATGAGTTGTTTGAATTTAAAGAATGAAAGACAACGTACGGTATACAACGTTAAGATTGTCGAATCAGCCGCTTAACTGTGAATACGGCCGGGACGAAATTTCAATGTGCTCTTTCTGGTTTACTTCGGTTTCATTCGGTGACGATAAAAATAAAACAGAAATTCTGTACGTCTATTAGCGGAATACTACTGACTCTAGGGTAGGGCCCCACACCACCACACAGATGAGTTGAAGTATCATTTCCAGTATAATACGAATTAAATATTTTAATCTGTAGAATATCAAAATGAATAGGAACAATTCGATTATATTCCAAAGTTGGCGGATAAGGATATAAAGGTGTTAAATTCAGTACTATATGCTCAAAGTGATTAAGGGAAATCCGACATTTACACGTAAACACTGTATTATTAGAAAGCAGAAATCGAGAAAATATTTTCAACAAAAAAAAAAATTCCCATTTCTATATGTTCATTTACTTTTTGTAGGTCTTGCTATTCTATTCATGAATTTCGTCTTGGAAAATGTATGCGTGATGTGAAACGTTTATTAATAAACGGTCTGATGGCACCATTGCACGTTAGCTTTATTATTATTATTATGTAGGAGTGGCTGTAACGAGTGGAAAAGAATTTTTACATATTGCAATGCAAACGAGATCAAAACTGAAGAAAACTCACTGTGACACAACAATACCATACACTTATGATAGTGACGAAATTCTACTATGAACAGCTTACGAATTTGTAGTTGTGTTGTACATGTAGCCTTCCCTGTCGTGTTCTCAGCAATGCAACACACAGATCCCTCTTGTTTTTCAGTTATTTCTGGTATTTTGAGAATGTAGCGATCACCCTCAGCCAATATAGAACAATTTTTGTCATCTCCCCCAATTGGTTTATCATTGAGAAGCCATTGTATCTGCAATAACAGAGTAATGAAACAAATAAAAAGGATATTATCGAATCATGAATTGTATTGAAATTTATGTTCAATATCTCCTCACGACAATAACAGTTAGGAGGAGCACAAATATCCACATGTCGGCTATTAACGACAAACCATCGAACACAATACTGTGGCTAAAGGAGTATGCGCCCGCATTGATCTGGTTAGGAATATGGGATAAGAGAACATTGAGATTCATTTCTTGGCATAGGATGAATCTGGTATGAGGAACTGAGCCAAACTCGTACCAGTTGAAGTGTACCGGTGATTCATCAATGAGATGAAATTTTTCATCATTATTAATAAATGCAATAATAAATCAGAAGCGAAATAGTACCTATAACTATCTACCACTCCGCTACTGAATTATAATGAAAAATTATCAGGTTGAATTGAAGAATTACCCTGGGCATTGGTGTGCCACGAATAGTACATTCAAATATTTTAAATTTTCCAATATACGTAATATGAGGGTTTCTCAGAGTTGCGAGTAGGAAAAAAAGCGATACAAACGTATCTTCTGCCTGTAATTGGCTATTGTTATCGCATTAACAATTAACTTGAGGTTTTACAGTGAGTCGAAATATAGCTGTAACACCTTCCCATGAATGTTTTCAACTTGAGCAGTATAACTCCCTGCATCTTTGGCAGTAATTGAATTAATGTGCAGTTTATGAACACCATTGTGGCAATGGATAATCTGCTACCCAAAATTAAGTTATTAAATGCCTTCTATATCAAATACAAAAGAAATAGTAATATTCACAATTTTTACCTCTGTGCGATTACCAGTAGGGACAATGTCTTCATTATTAAATGACCAATTGAGGAAAGGTGCGGGTTTGCTTGATATTTGACATTCAAGCAATGCACTTTCACCTTCATGCACATAAATATTGGGTGTACACTTGAGAAATTGCGGGGCAGTACTACTCATGTTACATCCATCTTCCTCATGAATAGTAGGTACTACTGATAATATACATTGACTTGATGTTTTGCCTTCAGAATTGACAGCAACTACTTTATATCTGCCAGCATCATTCATAACCACTTCATGAATTATCAAAGAGCACTTGTCTCCTTGAAAGAGTAATTGAAAATCTGAAGACTCTTTAACCAGTTGATTGTCATGGTACCAAATCACCTAAATTGTAAAGCAATAAAATTGATTGATACTTTATATATATATAAATAATTTTGTATTGAATATTGAGAATAATAGTACATAAATCCATATTGTTATCATTGGCTTCCCCTGATGGATGCATTGTGCCTACCTATGAAGTCACAAGAAATGGAAGTCTATATAAAATCTCGTTTTTAGTGTAATAATTAGCATAGAGTTTTGGCGCAATGCTGACCCAAATACACCATCCATCCGCGAGCCAATAATATCACGAATTATTGTCCCGAAAATGTAAAAACTAACTCCATAAGTATCTTACTTCTGGCTCAGGTTGCCCAATAATAATACAATCCAATGTTACACTTTGTCCCTCACATACTCGAAGGTCTTGCAGATTTGATTTGACACTCGGAGGAATTAACTTAGACAATTCCGTTTGCTGTCCAACAATAACAGTCATTTGTTCACTATCTAATCCCACTGTTTGGTCCATTTTTACTGCTTTTATCTCTGTATCATTGGTGTACTTTCCGATTCCAAGACATTGAAGCATATAAAAAAGAAAAATCATTAGCGGTATTGCTTTATTCCATTTCAATTTTACACCCTTATAAGCAAAATAACAGCCAACTACTGGTGAAAATTTTCATTCAATAAATAATAATCGTCTGCAAATTCCATTCACCTTATCTCATTGGACACTTATTATATAATATAATGATTTAATAAGTCTTTTTTACCTCAACATTCAATAGATCTTTCTGTGATGTGATATGAAATTGTGGTGTTCTATCATCATTTCTTATAATGTTCGAAATATCAGTTGATATTTCGTCAATTTGATCAATTCCCCTTCCCCCGGTTCTATTATTATCTGCATTAAATTAAATTATTAATTTTTTAAATGTATAGTACTTCTGATAATTCAAATATCTTCATAATTTATAGTAGACTATTAACATATGACTAAACTCTCGAAATATTTACCTTCTAATTCAACTTTTGCTGAAGTTGAGGCCTCTCCATGTTTATTGCGTGCTTTACAAATATAAATTCCTTGATCATCAGCGGTGATTTCTAGGAATTGCAATCTCGCTTGACCATTATTATATGTGATAACATAATCTGGTGAATCATCGACATTGGTTTCATCCCGAAACCATTGAACTATGGGTAATGGATTTCCCCCAACTGTACACTTAATCGTTGGCGACGAACCTGCCTTTACGAAAATGGATTGTAATTCTTCGATAAAGATGGGTGAACCAGAAACTTGTACATTGATACTGTCTCTTTCATCAATGGTCTCATTTTTTTTCACAATTAATGTATCAATATCAGTGGAAGTATTGTCATTAAATTTTGCTTTTTTTAGTATATGATTAATTGTCGTTTCCGTTACTGTAGTCGTTATTTCTTCAACTTTATTAATATCGTTTTGTTGGTCAATAAACCTTGCTGATATTACATCACTGCCGGTTTCATCTACATCTTCCTCAAGTTCCCTCTGCGAAAATTCATTTGTTTTTTGTACATTTTGAGCCAATTTACGTAGTTCGGATATTGTTTCAGCACATAAATCTAATATTTCTTGATTGGCCATAATTACTTTATTGAACTGCGATAATCTTTGAGTGCCAAAAATCTGAATTGATAATTTGCGAATCTGTTCGATTCTCTTTTCTTGCTCGCTTTCTCCATTTTTCAAATATTGTTCGATTGCATTTAAAATATTTTCAGGTTGTTGAGGGATTTCTCCTACAGCAGATTCCTTTCTGGCATGCATTAATAATTTTTTCAATTCGATATACCAATTTTCAACTTTCTGAATTAATTTGAAATATACAATAGTGACATCAATTTGTTTTTGAATTTCTTTAGCCGATCCTTCAAGTTGTTTCCATTTTTTCTTCAAGCTAGATAATTCACTATTGATTTTTAAAGCAGAATGCACATCACATATGGATTCTAGATTTTTGACAGTCGTGCTGATCAATTTATTGACTTTTGCTTCCACATTATAGATGATTTCATCAATCTTTTTGAATGCATCAGCAGTAGATTCGACCAATGAAATATCATCACCATCGCAGTATTGATTGGATTCTCGAACTTGTTGAAGTTGAATACTTAATAGACAAATTTCTTCATCTACAGAATTTAAATCTTTAACAAAATGATAATAAAGTAAGCACTTTTGAATTTGTCTTCTCACTTCTGAACAAATTTTCATTGAAGACTCGATAGTGCCGTGATCAATTTTTTTCAACTGCTGCATATCTATTTTAACAATTTCTTGTGACGTTTTGTCTCCTATTTCTATTTCCATAAAATTCTCTCGATGAATTCTATCAATTAATATAATGATTTCATTAATTTTATGCAATTTTTCCTGTACATTAGTTTTCAATTCCGAAAGACTTGTTGGCGGGGAAGAATTTAAAATCGGTAAATCGGTATGATGAGCTTGTAAAAGTTTTTCACTTTTATTTTCAAGTTTTATTATGTATTCCACCATCTCCATGAAAACTTGTAAAAGACCTTCATACTTCACAGCAATTGTTCCCAGATCATTGTATAATTCATGTAATTGTTTTCCATTTTGTTTCATTATTATGTGCAAATTTTCATATCGATTGCAATTATCGGTTCTAGAATGCAGATAAGACAGTGCTATATCCAATTTAGGGAGAAACTCCATTTGCATAATCTCTAAATGTTCTACCATTATCGAAGGCGTGGAATCATCAGAGTTCAATATTGAAAATAAATGGTTTTTCATATTTGAAACTAATTCGATAATTTTGACGGTCTCGTTAATTATCGCCAGATGTTCAATTTTCAATTTTTTCATCATTGTTATTGACATTTTCCAATTCTCCCGAAGCTCTGTTATCCTCAAACTTTCAGTTGTGAAATTCTCCAATATTACATTCACTATATGGCAAGGTTGAGATTTATTCAAATAAGAATCAGTATTCTTTTGCATCTCAGTAATGAAATTTTCACCTTCATTTTTCAATTGCAAATAAAGAGTTTGGAATTCATTTAATGTTTCTTCAAAATTTTTCAGCATTTTATGTTCCTCTAAATCCCTCCAATTTCCAGTGATTTGATTGTTTATTACATCTAAAACACTATGAAGTATTGCAGCCATTTTATGAATTGCTATATAAGATGAACTTAAGTGAATTCGTGAATCGATAATGCTGTTAAATTTCAACCATGTATCTGTCAACACGTAGATGTATTTTTTCATTTCTTCTTTAGGACAAATTTTTCCTTTATCATCATTCATAGCCACATTGATAATGTTCAATTTACATGACTGTTGATGAAATTCATTTTCACGATTCTTCAATTCTTCCAATAATTTATTGTGCTCTTTATGAAAAGTCTGAGCCATTGAAATATCTTTTCCCATGTCTGCATTGTCACGAATAAATGCCTCAACGGTAAATTCAAACCATGTTTTTAATGCCTCATATTTTTCAAAAAATAATGTCAATTCATGACAAGTTATAAAATTCTCTTCTATGCATAATGTGTATCGCTCATGTAATTGGATTTTACGATTTTTCAATTCTTCTATGGCTTCTTTCACTCCCTCAGCTCCAGACATTTCTCTTCCAACAGAATCAAGTATTGCATATCCTTCATTTATAGGGTCCAATGTAACTTGTGATAGTGATACCATAGCTTGTGTATAAAAATTTATATATTCCGATGAAAATGTTGAGTATGTATTACTTGAAAGTTGTATCTCTAAATAATTTAATTCTTCGAAAGCTCTTTGTACAGAATGAAAAAAATTCATTACTCTATTCAGAAGACTCTCATGTTGGTCCAAATGATTTATATACTCAGCTGCCTTTTCTAGAATTGTATAAGCTTTTTCAATAGCTTGTTCACTAGCAAAATGGCCATCTAATACAAGTTTCTCGGTTGATTTCGTTATCTTTAACAGACGATCTTGGAATACCTTAGCTTCATGTTGAAATTCTTTCAATTTAAGGAGTAATACTTGGGTGCTTGTGGATGAATCGCCCAACTGATTGCTATTGCCATTGAACACAGTAATTTTATCATTGAGAGCCATTTCAAAATTTCTCAAATCAATTGCCAGAAGGGCCAGTGCTAAACACTGTTCCAATTGAATTTTACGTGTATTGAAATATATTTCCGTCTGTTTCCTCTGTTCGTGTATCTGCTCCAGGTATTTTTCTATGTGAACTATGGCATTTTCAATATCAACTTTCATACAATCCGGTAGAGAATCCATTGATCGAGCCTTTACTGCTTCACGCAATTTTTCTATTAAACTTTTACCCTCTTGAAGGATATTCAACATAGCACTGAGCATTTCTCTTCTAAGATCATAAATTTTATTTATCATTTTTCTAACAGACTCGATCTCTATTGGCAATTGTTCGTCTGTACAAATTATTTCCAAAGCGGTCGAACTTATTTTGAATTCCTCAACACGGCTATAAAAGCAGCATTAGTTTCATAAATTGTTGGTAGAAAAAAGATGATATGCTTCATTAACTAAACTCATTCATTACCATTGAAATGAAACATTGTGATCCAAAATTTGTTTTCGAAGTTCTAGGAAAGAATTCACCTCTTTCCACGCTTGACCAAGAGTATCTGCCATCGCCGCATATACCTCAGCGCGAGGTTTTTGTGTTGAAATGAGGTGATCTGCTTGTCGCAGTAACTCTTCAACTGGGCTCTGTTTATTTTTTAAATGGATCAGGACCTCATCATGGCTAGTCGCAAAATTTGTTGCACTTTCAACGGTGCTACCCAGCTTTGAAAGTTCAGGATATAGCTCTAAAACTTTCAGTCTCAAATGAGCTCCACTCTGAAGAAAAGAAGTATTAATTGAGAAATAAATTCACATAAGTTAAATGAGCGGAGTATTAGGAAGACACGAGAAGAATGAGTCAAAACATATTTTCTCTACAGGAAAAATTGAGGATCTGGTGTCTCAAGTAGGTATCAAAACTATATTAGTTACTTTCAGCGAAGCATTTGCCTGGCATGGTTAGTGAAGTTTAAGTAGGCATTCCGTTGCCTCCCGAAATCTACAGACACTTCTGTTCACGTTCTACGAAACCCCGAGGAAGATAAATTTAAACTTGATATATATGCTCGAAAAGTCGCTCTCAACTAAGATCTATATCCGTTTATGAAGCAAAAAACTATCATTATAAGAAAAAGCATTCTTTAATCGATTATATATATTATATAATCAGGAAATGATAATATAGAATAATATTTCCTTTCAGACTCTATGAATGATCAATGCATGGTTTTTTTTTTAACTGCACTCCAGTTCATGCGTTTTTTCTCTTTTTAACCTTAATAGATTTAAAAATAGTTTCTTCCAATCGATCGATGAACAACAAACTTTGCCACATGCCAAATAATCAACAAGATGAACCAGTCATAAGTTCTGAGCACTATGCATATTGATAATGGTAATGTGATAATTGAAAAATTAAATCAATAATTTTTATGAGTATCTCACCTGGAGAAGTGCAATGACGAGACGTGTATTTCCACTTTGTAAGGCTATCGTACTGATTGTCGTTGTTGTAGGTAATTCCAGGTCATTATTTTTATTAGAAGAAAGTGCCTTTCTGGTATTTTCTCCATGACAATTGAGTTCATAAGGTTCTTTATCGATAGTAATTTCTGCATAATCGTTTACCATTTTGGCTGTTCGTTTTACAGTGCATGAAAGAGTATCTCAAAAACTAGATTCATAAAAGTCATCGATATTAATTTGGACAAAATTTTTGAAAATTTATTTTTGAGTCCGGTGTATTTGCCGGTATATATGTTTTTTGGCATATACAGGTATATAACTGCGAGTAGATCGCCCATCAATGATTAGCCGGTGAATGTAGCAGAATAAAAACGCGTAGGTCTCGAAACCGGCCCGACGACTCAGAGAAGGTAGGACAAGATGTTTTGTTTTTTTTTTTTTGTATTAAAGGAATCTATCGAAACATCCCTATATTGTGAGCATAATATTTAATATACAATAAGGATGTAAAGAAATAAAGATAAGTAAACTAACATGGAGAATTAAGAAGAGATTTTCAATTATAGAAATTATGGATTTGTGTACAAACTAAAATTACCGTTTGCTTTCAGCATTTATTCGCTCGTTACAATTCGTTTCATTTTATACATAAAATTGGGTAAAAAACAGTTTTTAACCACTGCTTTGTTCGAATATGAAAATATTGAGTTTACGAAAGAAGGCAACACTCTCTACCAGCAGTTGAGCTGGCGCAACTTACACTGAACGTCTATACATAGGTACGTCTGGATCTTCAAGTCTCGGTTACTCTTGCGGATATAGTGAAAAACGATGGCGAGTGAGAGACATAGCAGCAACTTTCACATCTGGCTTCAATTTTACATACAACTTATTTAGAGCCGCTTAAAAATTGGCGGGTTAATATTTCTAACGTATGAATTTAGCAAAGAACCATTTGGCCGTCAGTGGATGATGCAGAAATTATACTATTTTTCAATTCGCATAAATGTAATTTTACACAATTAACCAATAAACAGGCCTATATTCGCAGTCAAGCCAAAAGGTTGGAAGGAGTATATGATATTACCATATAAATGATTTCTTCCATTGTCAAATTTTTATCAATTTTTAATAAATTATGAACGTAAAATGTAAGTATAGAGTGACAAAGAAGTAATGATATTGGAAAATCAATATAAAAATTTGAAAAAATTTGATTGTATTGAATGATCAGTTTCTGATTTTTTTTTTTTTTTTTTTTTTTT